GGCTTTCCATGTCACTGCGTCGTCTTTGTTTTCCGCGACGAGTGGGACTGGCGAGCCAGTATTAGTCAGAGCGCGGCGGGAAGTGGGGAAGTGAGCAGAGCAGCTGTTCGCGAGAAGGAACAAGAGAAGCGGAGCGACGAACAGATGTTGAGTCACCATTCTCGCCGTGCAACCCGATGATGATTTCATCAGCGAGGTTGTGATGTTTTTTAATCAATGAGTCCTATTTGTGCTATCATGTGCTGGGAGAGGGTGTTGGTGTCGGAAAGACTGGGGGACCTGCTTACTGAAGTTGGCAAGATGCTAACTTCGATGTTGGTGAAGGGGAATCAACGAGTGGCTCTTGTATTCAGGAATGCGGCTCGGTTGTTGAGAATGCGAGCCGAGCCGCAGTCCGATTTCTGACTTTCGAGTGGCGTGAGGCACACTGGAAAGCAGGGTCCGAAATATGTGCCAAAAAATCCTTCGAAACCTCGAGTATGCCAAAACTTTTTTCACCTCCACATGCTAGTAGGCTGAACATACTGCGGGCTAGACTGGTTGAGACAGAAGTTTCTGGCTAATCAGCTTGAGCCCCGGCAGAGCTCTCGCCCTAGAAAAACCTAACCAAACAGAGTAATTGCCTTAACCAGTTATTGGAGTTGTACAGTTTCGAAGTCTTCCCAAGTCAACTGGTCTGAAACATTCGTGTACATTTTCTGTTGTGATAATGAGATAGTGGCAAACTTGTGCAATGAATATGGCTGAAAGCGCAATGAATAAGAAGTTTTGATTTTGCTACCCTCTACCCTCATATTGGTTTTGGGAAAGTCTGGAAATTTTTACTTGGCATGCAAATTCATGCTGAAACAAGAGAAGAAAATGAATAAACCATCGTGGACTACAACTGTCATCGTTTTCCTTGTCTATTCAAAATTATATTTGGACCACGTGTGCAAAATTGTTCACATTTTTGTTCTGCAAAAGTAAACCTTACAATGAGCATAGTTTCCATTCATTTATATGCATTACATGAGAAGTCAGAGGTGCATGCCTTCCAGCAGCTGCTCAAACTCCTCCCAGCGCATGCCCTGCTGAATATACTCCATGCGAGCAGGGTTGAATGGGCCCCTCACGCGGTCCACTGAGCTGATCGCAGCAGAGGCAGGCAGCACCGGGTCTGAGGGGTCTGAGGGCGTGGGCAGGACCAGCGACGAGGAGAAACCCTGAGGGAGGGCAAGGGGTTGTGGGTGAGGGGGGCAGAGAGAGGGGGAAGAGACTAGGGGGGGTGGAGGGAGGGAGCGAATGGTGGGGTTGTGCTCAGCTGTGGGTCTGAGGGGCCAGATGGCGTGGGCAGCAGCACCAGACAGGAGGAGAGGTCTTGGGGGAGCTGAAATGAGAGCTGCAGTGGGTTGATGGTTAGAGTAAGAGCGGATGGGGCAGTGTGGCAGGGTTGGTAAGCGCGAGAGGCGAGTGAATGCGGCACAGGGTGAGCAGAGAGGAGGGTGGTAAGTGTTGAAATGAGGTTTTCGTAAGCCATGGCTTGCGAGAAAAAGTTGCATTCGATAGTACTGAGTACAATGTCATAGAGTTGGTTGGGAAACCCCAACTGAAACTAGGGTGCGCTCAGTCTATGAACAAACTCCTGAACCTGAAATGAAACTAGTCTAAAACTGGCCGAAAAAAAATGTAAGGCCAGAATTAAGTACATAGCGAAGACTAGCCTACTCCAACAGTAGGTGCGAGAGGCGAGTGAATGGGGCACAGGATGAGCAGAGAGGAGGGTGGTACGTGCGAGAGAGGAGGGTGGTACGTGCGAGAGAGGAGGGTGGTACGTGCGAGAGAGGAGGGTGGTACGTGCGTGAGACGAGTGAATGGGGCACAGGATGAGCAGAGAGGAGGAATGGGAGTGGCGGCTGGGTGTTGGGAATCCTGAGCGAATGGAATTGGGAAATTTGCAGATTCGAAGCAAATCCGGGATTGGGAATGCGACAAACGCTCTGTTGCCAACAAATATAAAGCTAACTGCCCGCTTGTTGCCTCAAGTGCTGATGAGTGGCAGCGGTGTAGTGCTGATGAGTGGCAGCGGTGTAGTGCTGATGAGTGGTAAGCAGGGGCGTGAGTCACCCTGACGACAACGACCTGGTCCATTCCCCCGTGCACCTGTGCTTTGAGCACCCGTCAGTGGTAAGCGCATAGTAGTGCTGGTGCTGTCACCCTGCCTGAAGGTAAGCAGTGTGTGGTAAGCGTATAGTGCTGGTGGTGTCAAGCTGAGGGTAAGCAGTGAGTGGTAAGCACATAGTGCTGGTGTCACTCCTCGTCGTCCCCTTTTAGAAGGGCGTCACCCTGAAGACGACCACCTCGTCTTCCTCCCCATCCACCAGTGCGGTGAGCACCTGGGAGTGGTAACTGCATAGTGCTGGTGGTGTCACCCTGCGGGTAAGTGGTGAGTGGCAAGTGTGGGTGTCACTCACCCTGAAGACGACCACCTCGTCTTCCTCCCCATCCACCAGTGCGGTGAGCACCACCACCTCCGCCGGCACCTGCCGCAGTGATGCATGCGATGACATGCCAACACATATCAGGATTCATATTGAGACACACACTTGATCATCCACCTGTGCGCGCAGTGATGCATGCGATGCATGCGTGCATGTGATGCATGCGTGAACGTGACGCATGTTATATATGTGTGCATGCAATGTATGTGTGCAGGTGATCTATGTATGCGTGCATGCGATGCGTGTGATGCATGTGTGCATATGCAGACATGCCAACACGCATTCGGATTCCCATTAAAACACACACTTGAACATCCACCTCCATGTCGAGCAGCACAACCTCCCCCTTCTCCTGGCACAGTGATGCATGTGTGCATGCATATATTCAGACACACGCCCACACACATCCGAGCTCACATTCACACACGCCGACACACATTGGGATTCACATTCACACACGCTCAGACACACAGTGATCCATGCACGCTCGCACATGAACACACATACACATGACACGAGAACAGCACGAGTACGGCTCTGATAAGCATGGTGTCCGCATAGAAATGCTCACAGTATCTGTACGGCTCACGGCTCACAGAATCTGTACGGCTCACAGAATCTGTACGGCTCACAGCATCTTACAGCTCACAGCATCTTACGGCTCACAAATAGCTCAACCATCTGCACCCAGCAGCACCGTTCCCATACCCTCTAAAATCGTAATACCTCCACTACCAGGCTGTCACAGGTCCTCTCCGCAATGCTTTAGGCCCCCAGTCCACAGGTACTAAGTCTACTCGGTAACGCTATGGTGTGCTTTCCTAAACGCGTTCGCAACGCTTTCCACGAGTCTACCCTGCCGTTACTAGCGTTCCCCTGGACCTGCTTAGTCTACCCGTCACCTACTCTCTCGGTGTACTGCTCCACGCGTCTTATATCGAATCCGCGCGACTCGCTACTGGTCGGCGCGACGCCGCCGCCGTCGCCATCATGTGTCGCACGGAGCACCGTCGCCGACAATCCCCATCGCGTTCCGGGGTTCGCGGATGGTGCGTCGACTCTCGCAGCGCAAGAACGAATAGGTACAGCGGCCGTTCGCTGCGCGCGCGATTCGACGGGAAGGAAATTCGTAGCGCGTGATCCGGGGAGGACTGGGGTGCTGGTGAGGGCTGCGCATGCGAGGGGGGAAGCGGGTGCATTGCGAGGCTGATGACGGGCGCGGGGCGCGAGGAAGGCGGTGGGGGCGGGATGTAATTGAGCAGCAGACATCTTGCGACGAAAAAAATAACCTTTTCCCCAGGAGAACGTGGAGTCTGCTGGTGGTGTATGTGGAAGAATGATGTGGTGAGGGCAAGTGGCAGTCTTATGAATGAACTAAGCCAGTGCGCGAAATTAGTGGGAAAACAGTTTAGGGTTCGTCGGCGACAGTGATAGCGAATTTCCTAGGGAGTAAGGACGTGGTGCAGATCGGGGCAATATGAGGCTGATTGCCTCGATCTACGCAACCCGCAATTTCCGAGAAGCCCTGGGACTTTTTGGGGCAATCGGGGGCAATCTCTCGTTCGCTACGTATCGCTAGCGAGAATCACCACTTTCCCTGTTGGCGAAGTGCCGCGAGCGCTGACGATTTGAGAGAAGCATCAGATGTCGCACCAGTCCCAGACTAGTTATTTTCGCTGCCTGATCATTCTTCACTAACTGACAACAGCATTACCGCAAGATTCATATTTCACCGAGGCAAACCACAACGGCAAAGCACCAAGGCAGTGCGCGTGTCGGTCGTGCCGCTCCGGCCGTACCACCACATAGGCGGCTCACTCGGTTTGAGTTCGCCGTCCTCTTAGACGGAGATTCGATTCTTATATCTTAGGCGCCGCCTGCAGATTAGCAAACCCTCTTATATTCGTTAATCGGCGCCTCGATAAAAGCACGCCCATGGCGGACGACGAGGATCGCGTGCCGCTCAAGTCGCACGCGACCGGGGAGCTTCGTGGCCGTCGATTTCAGCCGTTCGATCGGCACGCTGTCGTGGAGCCGTTCGATGTCGCCCCTGTGACGCGGCGACTGAACTGGCGATTCGTAGCCGTCGCAGGGGCTCTGCTTCTTATCGTCATCTGGTGGCTATCATCACCTTATAGCGGGGACGGCTCCGCGTCGACGAATTCGATGGCCCTCTCAGGTTCGAATCCCGCCGAACCCTTTTCCTCTGCTCAATCCCCGCCGTCCGATTCTTTCCCCTCTTCCGCCACCGCTCCTTCCCCCGATACAGTCACAGTTCGTTCGGATACAGGCCCACACCCTGCCGCCGATGTAGTCACGTTCTCTGCGGATCCGAACTCAAGCTCGGCCGCTACAGCTGCCACCACACCTGCCGCTGCGCCTGCTGCTGCAGCATCTGCTACAGCCGCTGCTACAGCCGGTGCTGCATCTGCTCCGGAAGTATCAGCGGCAGCTGTAGCAGGAGCGCAACCACCATCGCTGCCTGGTTTCGCCGCGTCCGCAAATCCAGATTTGGCTGCTATGGCGCCAATCGCGGCAGCCACGTCAGCTCGTTCGCCCGCTCTTCGCGGGGATACTCCCGCCTCCGCGCCTGCCGCTTCTCCCCGTGCTGGTGTTTCGGAGAGTGCTACTAACGGTCGTGATTATAGCGAGTATGGAGCAGAGGGAATGTGGGGAGCAGAGGCGGAAGATAAGGGCTTGAATGAGGGTGACGAGTTGAAAAAGGGGTTTGGAAAATCGGAGAATGTAGAGGTAGAGGCTACACTGGAGGAATTGGAGCAGTCTTTAGCGGATCTCGAGGAGACTATTAACGAGGATAAGACGAAGAGCATAGGTCGCCTGGATGCAGCAGAAGCTGAGCTGGCGCAGCGCGAAAGTGACCTGTATTGGCGGCTGACTGATGCCGAAGCTCCCGCCGGGCCTAACGGTCCAGGCTCGGCAGGAGGTTCGGGTGGAACAGGTGGAAAGCTTTCAAATTCGGGACTTGCAGCTGCACCAGCTGCACCGGCAACAGCAGCACCAGCAGGAGCAGCAGGAGCACTAGCATCCCCACCGTCGTTCCCACCATCGGTGGCGGCAGCTGCCGCACCAGCAGCCGCAGGAGCAATAATAGGAGCAGCAGCACCATTAGCAGTGCCTGATACGCCAGCGAGCCATACAGGGGAGGACCCTCTCCTCTTTCCCCTCTCAGCAGCAGCACCACCATCAGCAGCACTCACTGCAGCAGCAGCATCAATAGAAGCAGCCGTGGCAGCAGGGGCGCCACTACCCCCTCCCACGCCCATCCCCTCTCTGCACTCCCTCTTGAAGGACGCGGATCTCAAGAGCCTCTCTGCTGCGCCTGGGGAGGGGGAGGACGTGGAGAAGGGAGGGGAGGGAGTGGGGGGAGCAGGTGGGAGTGGGAGTGGGAGGGGTGGTGGCGGGGGCGGTGGTGGTTTCTGGGGCGCATGGTGGGGCCATAGGCGCCTGGTTGCTGACGCTCTTGCCTCGTAGCAGGTAGCACCTTGTTTCACAACACCGGGGTGAATTTTGATTCAACTTGAGAGGAGGGGAAGGAGGGGAGGGAGTGAGTGGGGGGAGTGGGTGGGAGTGGGAAGGGTGGGGGGAGCCTTTGGGGCTCGTGGTGGGGCCGCAGATGCTTTGAGTCGACTCAAAAGTCAACTTGGGGCTCGTGGTGGGGCCGCAGACGCTTGGCTGCTGCCCCCGCCGCCATTGCTGCTGCTGCCGCCGCCGCCGCCGCCGCCGCCGCTGCCGCTGCTGCTGCTACCTCCCACCTTTTTAATTTCGATTGGTGTATTATTGACAACTTTGATGAAGGTGTACCTGCAACTGTCTCGTCTATTGATTCTATTTGATTGCTCGGGAGAGAGTTTTAGCCGTTGCACTCGGCGCAATGAAAGGCATTGACCTTAAGAGACAATGTTCGAGGTTGCTGCTGCTTCTGCTGCCGCCGCCTCTCCCGCAGCTGCTGGTGTTGTCGTTGATGCACTCTCACTTAAGGGCCACCGCGAATGAATGGGCACTGATGCACGCAATGGGCACTGATGCACGCAATGGGCACTGATGCACGCCAGCTGTAGCTTAGGCAGAGGGAAATAGGGGGCTTGGATCGACGGGGAGCCGCGTGGCCGGAGCAGCAGATGCAGATGTTGACGCAATCACAATCTCATACCTACTTCAGTGAGATTGCTTCAGCTAATTTTTAGATTCGAGATCTATTGTAGCTTAGATTAGGATAGTCACATCCAGAAGCAGAGTTGGATCCATCCAGATCTAGGTCTAGTCTTGGATTCAGGGTGTAAATCTCAACTGCGAAATGTGCCAGCTCAGCTCGAGGAGCCTCCATCAGCAGGAGCAGAGCCTCGTTTTAGGGCGCTTTAATCGTCGGAACGTGGCAGGGCAGCTGCTTGAGTTGAGACTCGCCACGGCCATAAGCAGGAGGAGCGCCGTGGCTTCACAGACAGGTGCTTCCTTGTAGCTTCACGGACAGGTGCTTCCTTGTAGCTTCACGGACAGGTGCTTCCTTGTAGCTTCACGGACAGGTGCTTCCTTGTAGCTTCACGGCCAGGTGCTTCCTTGTAGCTTCACGGACAGGTGCTTCCTTGTAGCTTCACGGACAGGTGCTTCCTTGTAGCTTCACGGACAGGTGCTTCCTTGTAGCTTCACGGACAGGTGCTTCCTTGTAGCTTCACGGACAGGTGCTTCCTTGTAGCTTCACGGACAGGTGCTTCCTTGTAGCTTCGTGTGAGCGAGGGATGGGAGGGGAAGGCGGATTGGGCAAAGTCAGTGAGAGCTGGAGGAGGGGGAGAGGGAGGGGGGAAGAGGGGGAAAAAGAAAGGATGAGGTGAAAGGTTTTGTCGAGGAGCGGAGTGTAGGTAGCAGGAGAGTAGGGCGGGTCTAAGGAGAGTGATGCAAGTGAGGAGGAGGAGGTTGGAAGGACAGTTGGCGGGAAGCATGCTGGGAAGGGGATGAGGAGAAGCATGCTGGGAAGGGGATGCGGAGAAGCAGGTTGAGCGGCAAGAAGGCCGAATCTATCTTTCGTCAAGCAATCAGCAGATACCGGCTTCCCAGGTTACCATCTTCTTAAAATTACAGCCTACCCAGGTTACCGCCCTCCCAAAAATACAGCCTACCCAGGTCACCACCTCCCTGTCGCCACCTCCCATGTGACCACCTCCCATGTGACCACCTTCCCTTCCCAGGAAGCTGCATGCACCTGAACTGAAGCAGATGGCAAGCGGGACAGACTGCACATTTCAGAGGGAGATAGTTCAGAGAGGTAGCTCAGTGAACCTCAGGTTATTAAACTGAAGCTGAGAGAGATAGCTACATACCGCTACCATCCCTGGGCTCTTGGAAAGCTGCTTATCTGTCGAGTCGTCTCGCCCACCGAGCTGTCCTGGGCACCAAGTCGTTTCTCACAACAAAGCGTTTCAATCAACTAACAAGCCATCTCACGTTGATAGTTTCTTCTGGCGCTGCAAGTTCCGAACCTGACAGCCGCAAACCTGCTGTACCCCCCTTGCCCCCCTGACGAACCTCCTGCCCGAACGTGCAGGCTTGGGGATAGGCTCGGACGGGCAGTACGATTTCGGGGATTCGAGCTCGTGGGGGGCAGCTGGAGGGGAGGAGGTGAAGGGGGGAGTGGGAGGCAAGGGAAGGAAAAATGTTGGGGCAGCAGGGGGGGAAGGAAGAGGAGGAGGAGAGGAGAGAGAGGTTGAACAGACGGAAAATGGGATGGGAGAGGGTGGGAGGCGTGGCGGTGGAGAGTGCAAGTTGTTTACCTTCTTTGATCCGAGTCAAGTTGCGGGGGATGTGGAGCAGGAGGCGAGGTGAGTGACTGTGTGAGTGAGTGAGTGACTGTATGGTGTGAGTGACTGTATGGCGTGAGTGACTGTATGGCTTCTGAGGCGCATCCCTTTTTGTAGTGATTGTCTAGCCCCCCATCGTATGGCGAATCCCATTTTGTAGCCCCTGTTTTCTTTCTCGCTGGTTCCATTTGTTGCACCTCCTACACACTCTTCCATTCCTCATTTCCCTTCCCCCCCCGCTCCAGCCTGCTGCACGTGTGGCAGCTGAGTTGGCTCAAGGCGGGGTGGGTCCCCGTGGTGCTGCGAGGGGAGGAGAGCATAAAAGAACACGGAGAATATAACGAGATGCTGACACGCGCAGTGGAGGGGGCGGGGGGCGTGGCAATGAAGGTGAGGAGAGGGAGTGAGGGTAGGAAGGAGGGTGTTTGGGGAGGGGAGCGTGAAAGGGCATGGGCAATACAACGAGATGCTGACACGCGCAGTGGAGGGGGCGGGGGGGGTGGCAATGCAGGTGAGGGGGAAGTAGGGGGAAGGTGAGGGGGAAAGGGGAGGGAAAGAGGAGGGGAGAAGGGGGGGAGAAAGGGGAGGGGGGTGGGGGGGAAGGAGGGGTTAATGGGGGGGAAGGAGGGGGGAATGGGGGGGAAGGAGGGGGGAATGGGGGGGAAGGAGGGGGGAATGGGGGGGAAGGAGGGGGGAATTGGGGGGGAAGGAGGGGGGAATTGAGGGGGGAGGAGGGGGGAATTGGGGGGGTAATGGGGGGAGGGAGGGGAGTGTGAAGCTCAAGCCGGGGTCGGTGGCAGTGGTGTGGGGCTTAGTTGGAATTGACGGAGCCAGCGTTTTGACGCTACATTTTTTACGCTGGACGGAACCCTCCGAGAGTTTGACGGTGGTTTTGACGCTCTGACGGGCAGGCGAAGAAAACCCTCCGGGCAGCCAGAAAAAACCAGCCATGACGGTTGGCTAAGCTCGACTTAAATGCATTATTTTAAGATCGTGCTCTATGCTAGCAACGGGAGAAAGAATGTTGCTGGTTGAAACCCTAGAATGAAGTCGAGTTAAAGCTCAAGGCCCAAATTGTTCAGGATTACTAAAGTTGACCCTTGGGTGGTGGGGGAGCTGAGTAGGAAAGTCGAGGTGTTGGAGGGGTGTAGGGGTTTGGTTTCGCCCAGCTTCTCGCCACACTCAAAACAAAATACGCTGACTCAGCAAAGCCTAGGGGACGCTCAGGTTTGGTTGCGCGAGTCCCATATTGCACAAATATTACTCTTGCCAGTTTCCCGCACCACCTGTTCCATTCGCTGACTCAAATGTTCTGGCCAATCAGATGGCTTCGTACATTTCGTAGCCACAATTCGCCCGGCTAAAGCTGCAAAGCAGGACTCGATCAACCTTACTAAACTTGCCTCGCGCGGCCCGCAATTTGGGCCTTGAGCTTTAATTGGGGAGTGGGCTAAATGCGTGTGTTCTGGTTGGGTGATGTAGATGTAGTGAGGTGGAAAGGGCTGGCAGGGTTGGATTTTGTTGAAGTGCTTTTTCTGTGTTGTGTCTCGTCGAGTTAAATCTGGAGTCGCGATTTCGGCGAGGACTCCCGAATTGTGTTTTTTTGGCCGAATTTTATTTTCGATTTCAGGCTGCCCGAAAAAAAAATCAGGCACCGTCCAACGTTAAAACGCTGGACGCTTGCTTGTCCCAGCGTCAATTCCAACTAAGGTGTGGGGAGGGGGGAAGTAGGGGTTGGGGATGGAGGGTATCAAAGGGCATTTTGAATACCAGGAGGTAAGAGCAAAAAAATCCCCTGCCTGTTCCCATTTTTCCCCTTCCCTTTCCACGGTTCACAGCCCATCGTGACTCGCTGGCTAGCCGTGGCAGCAGCAGGCGGGGGACTGTTTGCTCACTACGATGTCATCAACTTCGGGGTACCCCCCCCTGCCAACTGCCTTATTGGACCGCTGTCCACTTATGGGGTGAGTGGGGTGGTTGTGTGGGAGGGAGCATTACAAGGGCAGCAGCAGCAGGCTGGGGTCTGTTTACCCACTATGATGTCATACGCTTCGGTGCTCCATCCCCTGCCAACTGCCTCATTGGACCGCTCTCTACCTTTAAGGAAGGTGGGGGGGGTGGGTGAGTGAGGTCAAATGCAGCAGCAATGGAAGGGGCTGTTTGCTCACTATGATGTCATACGCTTCGGTGCTTGACCCCCTGCCAACTGCCTCATTGGACCGCTGTCTACCTATGGGGTAAGTGGGGTGGGTGGGTGAGTGAGTGAGGTCAAATGCAGTAGCAAAGGAAGCGTTAGAAGGGCAGCAGCAGGAGGGGCCCCGTTTGCTCACTACGATGTGATCAGCTTTGGAGTCCGCCCTCCTGCCAACTGCCTTGTTGGCCCGCTCTCCATGTACCGGGTGCGTTGGGGAGGCGGAGCTGGAAGGGTAAACGGAGGGGGTATAAGGGCGGCAGAGTATAACGGGGCTGGAAGGGTATAAGGGCGGCAGAGAGGCAAAAGGGCAGCAGCTGGGGGGTGCTCACTACGATGTCATCAACTTTGGCGTCCCCGCTCCTCCCCCCCGCAAATTGGTTTTGAGTCGACTCAAAAGCAGACTTTGGCGTCCCCGCTCCTCCCCCCCGCAAATTGGTTTTGAGTCGACTCAAAAGCAGACTTTGGCGTCCCCGCTCCTCCCCCCCGCAAATTGGTTTTGAGTCGACTCAAAAGCAGACTTTGGCGTCCCCGCTCCTCCCCCCCGCAAACTGGTTTTGAGTCGACTCAAAAGCAGACTTTGGCGTCCCCGCTCCTCCCCCCCGCAAATTGGTTTTGAGTCGACTCAAAAGCAGACTTTGGCGTCCCCGCTCCTCCCCCCCGCAAATTGGTTTTGAGTCGACTCAAAAGCAGACTTTGGCGTCCCCGCTCCTCCCCCCCGCAAATTGCCTCGCTGGTTCGCTCTCTATGTACGGGTGAGTGGGGCTGAGAGGTGCAAGGGTGAACGAGAGGGGAGACTGTAAGGGCAACAGGGAGGCACACGAGTAGCAGCAAGTGTGAGTACTATCTGCTCACTACAATATCATCAGCTATGATGCCTCTCCCTGTGCCAACTGCCTCAATAGACCGTTCTCTCTACCTATGGGGTGAGTGGGAAACGAAAGCTGCTTTCATGCTTTCATCAACTTTTGTGTCCCTCGCTGTCCCGCCTGCCCCTACCCTCCCCATTCCGCCCGCCCTCCCCATACCCCCTTCTCGAATCAAACTCTCTTCGTCTTCCTGCTCCTCGGCCAACCACACGACTGTGCTTGACTAGCCCAGCCAGGTTGCTTCCCGCTGCCTTTCCAGACAGAAACCTACTTACTTCCACCTCCATCTCTTCCTCCCCTCCTCCCCTCCCCCCTTCCAAAACCAGGATCTGTTCCCCTTCATGCTCTCCGGCCAGCCAGACGACTTTGCGCGCCTAGCCCAGGCGCGCCTACCACTGCCAATGCAGGCAGCCCATCCCGCCCCCAGTATCACGGGGGTGGTGTCGCCTCGCTTCCGTTTCCCTGCTGTGAGGGGCATTGTGCGCTGCTCCCCTGCTGCTCTGCCGCTCTTCCTTCAGCCTCCCATCCTCCAGGTGAGATACGAAGAACCACAACCCCCTGCTGCTGCCCTGCCCTTACAAGCAGCGCACTCTGCTGCCACGAGCATTTACTTCTTGTCTCATTCTCTGTCCCTGCACCATTGGCATGCCAACAATGAAAGGGTGGCAAGGGAAATACCGCTAACGGTGCACCATGACAACGAATCAGTGACTTGTGACAGCTGTCAAATGCTGGCTCCGATGCTGGGTTTACATGTCATGACACTTAGTGGCCACCTGCACATCGCGGCAGTCAGATGACCGTGCACAACACCTTTATCAATTCTCTCCTTTCTTTCCACACGCTCATTTCTCCTCTCGCTCTCTCTCTCTTCTCTTCCCACCCACCCATGCTCTTCCCCCCTGCTTGCCATGCACTTTCCTGACAGCTTCCCCCGTGGCGCCAGGTCTCTGCTCTCCTCTGCTCCCACTTCTCCCGAACCACAACCTTCCGAGCCTTCGCCATACCTCCCCTCGCCACCGTACCTGCCGCCTTATCCTCCCTCCGCTCCTCCCTCTCCTCCTGCCCCAACTACACTCTCCCCTCCTTCCCCCTCCTCCTCCCCCCCTCCCCTTCCAACCTCACCTTCCTCCTCCTCCCCCACCACATCTCCCTCGCTCTCGCAACCGACTATCTCTCTTACTCTGCCAACCCCCAAAACGCCCCTGCCTGGTTCAAGAACCTCTATCCCGGCATGCCCGTGCCAGCAGGCATTTCTAACTTGGAATTTCTCCACGCTCTCACACACCACCTGCAATCTCTTCCTGTGAATCAAGAAGATTCCACCACCGATAACCGCCTCTCCCGGGCCGTATCCCGGGTCCTAAACATCCCCCTTACAGCAGCTCCGTTAGCAGTAGAAACACAGAAGCAGACAGTTGCTGTCGCACGATACGACATGGCGGGGGATGTGGTAACCGTGTTACAAGCAGCGCTGGGGTTCAGGATAGGCAGGGGGGAGGGAGAGGCGTTAGAGAATGCTGTGAGGGCGGGGTGGGAGGCGACAAGGCCGTTTGCGTCGCATGTGCATGGGGAGGTGTTGGATACGATTCTGGGGCGCAACCTGGTGGATGTGCGATTGCTGCAGGCTGCTGGAGTGAGGGTGGACGAAGCATTGGCTCGTGCCAAGGTGCTTGATGGATAGCTGTTCTGCTTATGTGTATGGGCAGTTTGGCCCATGTGATAAGGCCGTTTGCATGGCAGGTGCATGGGGATGTGGTGGATACGATTGTGAGGCGCAACCAGGTGGACGCGTGATTTCTGCTGGCTTGTGCCAAGGTGCTTGTTGGATAGCTGTTGCTCGCTCTGGTGGGAGCATTGGGAGGAGAGGAGGGATACAGTTGGTGATACCGTAGCAGCATGGGTGGGGATACGGTTGCTGAAGGCGTCAACCCCATTGCTCAATGTCAGGTACATGTGAAACTGGTGCAGGCTGCAGGGGAGAAGTACGGTACGTGACGAGGCGGTTGGCTTACCTTGTGCACATGTGCTTAGAGGGAGTTGTGGGACGCAGTGCAGAGGTTTGGAGGGAGGGAGGGAGTACGGGTGTTTGTCATTACTGTGCAGTGGAGAAGGGCACCTTTCCAGTCTAGTTGTTGTAGAGGAACGCAGTGCAGAGGTTTGGAGGGAGGGAGGGAGGAAGGCACACGCATGTACTGTACTGTACTGACTTGTCATTGATACTGTACAGTGGAGGTGGTATCTTTCCAGCTGCAGGGCTTAGGTTTGGATTTTGCCTACTCACGATTAGCAGTGTAGACATTTTCAAAACCCTTCTGAGCACTGTGCCCTTTTTGGAAACACTGATGGATCATTGTAACTTGAAGTTTTGAAAACTTTACCCAGAGGCATCAGTGCAGGTATATTTTTTACCCTGATTGTACTTTAGGCTGCTCAATATGTGCTGGCTGCAATCAAGCTCGAGGCCCAAATCGCGCACGATTACTATCGTAAGTTGGGCGCTGGTGGGTGGGAGTTGTGATGTGAACTCAAAAGTCGAGCGCAGTGGCTTGTCTGGTTTCGCTGCAACACTTGTATTTTTCGCCAAGTCAGCAAATTTCGAGTGTGTTCGGAAACCTCGAGTCCCAAATTTCCGAGTCAAGAAAGTTGACGTTCTTGCACAGAGTGCAGCTTCGACCAATCAGGTTGCATCGCCTCTACAGTAACGGGTAGGTTGCAAGCAGACACGGAGTGACACGGTGTCGGTTGTCAGTACGGTATCAGAATGAGGAATGGATGTTGCATTGATGTTGGTTGGGGTACATATGACAAACCCTAACTTCTGTACCCCCTAAGACAAACCTCACTACAGGCTACAACATTTGACACACCCCCATAGCCTAAGTGAGGGGTGTCTAGCAAAAACAAAAAAGAGTACGGTCACAAGACCAGTCCAAAAGAAAACAAAGCTCAGGGTGGATCACAACGTCACCACACACTCTGAGCACAAGCAACAGTGGCCACAAGGCCAGTCCAAGAGATCACAAGTATATATAGTAAGTGTACAGACGAAGCAGGCAATAAACTCAAGTCTACGCATGACTAGAACCTGTGTCAACAAGGCCTAACTGCACACAACACCTCTGGTGGTCACAAGGCGGAAGCGCCTTGGTGAAGATGTCTGCAGTGTTGGCCTCGGACTCTACAAACTCGAAGCGAGCCTGTCCACGCCTCTGCAACTCTCGCAGAAGAAAGTACCTGACGTGAATGTGCTTCACTCTGCTCTCCAGTCGCGGCTCACGACAGAGGAGGATCGACGCCTTGTTGTCAGTAAACAAGGTCGGTGCAGAGCTCGGCCGCTCACCAAGGTCGGCGAGCAAGAAGGTCAACCACCGTAACTCCTGTGCCGCCATGGCACCAGCGTAAATCTCAGCCTCAGCTGTAGAGGTCGAGACAGAAGAGGAGCGCGTGGAACGCCAGGAAACAGCTCCAGAACCCAGACTGAAACAGTACCCCTGAGTAGACCTGTGAGTCTCAGCGTCGTCAGCGTAAGAGGAGTCACAGTGACCAGTGAGTACGACAGACTGCTGCCCTCCAAGAACTAGCCCCACGCCTGATGTAGTCGCTAGGTACTTCGCCACCCTCACAGCTGCCGTCCAGTGAACAGGACGGTGTCTCCCTGGCGCAACAAAGCGCGCAAGGATGCTGAGAGGGAAGGCGAGGTCCGGGCGAGTACAAGTCATCAGGTACATGAGGCAACCCACAAGCTCTGCGTAGGGACCACTAGGCTCAAACGGCTCGTCAGGAAAGGGACCAGTGAGTCTGTGGTCAACAGCTAGAGGTGTGCGCTGTACGGTGGAGTGCTGAAGCCCGAACCGCTGAAGGACCTGCTGCACCATGTGTGACTGTGAGAGTGTAATGGTGCGAGCGGCTCTGTCCCTGGTGATCTGCAGGCCAAGGTAGTGGCGCAGCTCACCAAGATCAGTGCACGTGTGTCTCTTCTGCAGTTCGGACTTCACGTCTGCCAAAGCAACCCTGTCAGAAGTGGCGAAAACGAGGTCGTCGACGTAGACCAAAACAAAGAACGGTGTGGAGCCACGACGAACGAACAGCGACGGGTCGGCAGAAGACGGCTGGAACCCAAGGTCAGAGAGGGTAGAACGCAGAGTGTCGTGCCACTCACGAGGGGCCTGGCGAAGACCGTAAACAGGTCGCCTCAGCCTCCACTGGGTCCCAGGAGGGAAGGTGCCAGTGAAGGCCGAGGGACGACGCAACCAGACCTCCTCGTGTAGGCTGCCCTGAAGGAAAGCAGTGGAGAAGTCGAGAGAGTGTAACTCGTAGTCTCTCTGTGCTGCTACGTGTAGTAACACCCGAAGAGTGGTCATCTTCGGGGTAGGTGCGAAGGTCTGAAAGAAGTCAACTCCCTCGCGCTGACTGAAACCTCTAGCCACGTAGCGCGCCTTGAAGACCGGGGGAGATCCCGGTGGCCGCTTCACCCTGTAGATCCACATGCCGTCGACTACGTTCGCCCCAGGGGGGGGAACCTCATCGACGTAGGTGCCTGTGGATCTGTAGGAGGCCATCTCTGCGTCCATGGCAGCTCTCCACTGAGAGGCCCAAGGCCCTGACACTGCCTCAGCGTAAGTGCGAGGAGTCGGAATGTCAAGGGCGTCGGGGTCACTCTCAGGGGCGAGGAGCATGGCACAGAGATGAGGGGAAGCGGCCGCCAGGAACTCTAGCTCAAACTGCCTGTCCTCTAGGGCGTCACAGCCAAGGGCAGACACACCCCCGACGGCCAGAGGACTGGTAGGAGGAGCAGCCACAAGCGTGGTGGCGTAGTCAAGGCGGCGGGTAGAGGCAAAGTCAGTAACTGCGGCAGTAAGAGCGGACACAGAGGACACAGAGGCACGAGGGTGAGTAACAAGAGAGGCGAGAACACGAGAGAGAACAGGACGGTACGTGCGGTAGTAGTCAGTGACAGGAGTAGGGAGCGACACAGTGAGGGCCGACTCAGGAGGAGACGGAAGCACAGACTGAGACGGACGAGGTGGACTAGAAAGAAGGAAGGCAGTACGAAGGTCAGTGAAGGGAACAGGAGACGAGGGACGAGCACGAGGGGAGCGACGAGTAGCCCAAGAACGAGACGGAGGAGGAGAGGACAAAGGCGGAGAACTGGGGAAAACAGCGGGGGAGGAGTCAGGAGGAGGAAACGTGGGACCGTAGACAGGAGGAGAGGCGGAGGAGGGAGGAGAAGGGGAGGGGAGACCAAGGATCCGAAGACCCGAGACAGGAGGAGGAAGTGGCTGCTGCTGCTGCGGCTGCGACTGCTGCTGCTGCGGACGCGGCTGCTGCTGGGACTGCTGCTCCTGCGGGTCCAGCTGCTGCTGCTGCTGCTGCTGCTCCTGCGGCTCCAGCTGCTGCTGCTGCTCCTCCAGCCGCTGTAACTCCCTCTCCTCTCTCTCCAACGCCAGCTGCTCGTCACGGGCACGGCGAACACGAGCCTGGTGCCTAGTCCGGTAGGGGTGGGGGGGTGGAGTAGTGTCCGAAGCAGCGGCAGCTCCAGAGTCCACCTCAGAAGAACTAGGCGCACCACCCCCAGAGGCAGCACTAACACCAGCTCCAGAACCAGGCTCACCTGAACCCAAAGGAGGCGCACCCTCACCCCCAGACGCAGCACCCCCAGTGTCCGCGCGGCCAGCACCAGCTCCCGGACGACAAGAGTCCTCTGCACCCACCGGGTCAGCTCCAACTCCAGAACCAGAAACTCCAGCTCCAACCCCAGCTCCAACTCCAGTACCCCCAGAACCAGAAACTCCAGTGCCAACTCCAGCTCCAACTCCAGCTCCAACTCCAGCACCCCCAGAACCAGAAACCGGTACAGGAACAGGCGCCGCACCAACCTCTCGAGAGCTAGCACCAGCGGCACGCTGCGAGGAGGACTGTGGGGAGGGAGGCTGTACCGGAGGGGCTACCGAAGGAGGAGGGGTAGCCTGGGACACACCTGACGGGGCTGGACCAGGGGGGGGAGGCTGTACCGGGGGAGCAGGAGGGGGAACGGCAGTCAGGAAGAGGGGGGGAGGAGGAACCGGGAGACCTCGACTGGGGTACCTGACGTAGTACGGAGTGGACTCCTCGAAACGGACGTCACGGGAGTCAAAGAACCGGTGAGAGGGAGGGTGGTAAAAGGTGAAGTCAGAGGAGTCCTCAGGGAAACCAAGGAAGACACAGGGGACGGCACGAGGCGAGAGCTTGTCCGCGGAGGTGTCGCGGACAAGAGCCAAGCACCCCCAGACACGAAACCGCGACGCAACACCAGGGGACCCTGTCCAAAGACTGGTCGGTGAAACCTCTGGTCGAGAGACACGTGGCCAGAGGTTCAGCTGGTGCGCGGCGTACTTGACCGCGTAGGGCCACAGAAAATGGGGGGCACAGGCGTGAGTCAGGGAGGTGCGGGCGATCTCCATGACCAGGCCTATGCGGCGCTCAGCAACCCCATTCTGCTGTGGGGACTCTGGAAGCGTCCAGGACTGACGAATGCCCTGCTCGCGACAGAATCCAGCGAGAATGCCGGAGCGAAACTCACCCCCACGGTCGGAGTGGAGACAGCTGACACGACGACCACGAGTGTCCTCAGTGGTGAGCAACCACCTGATCAGCGTAGAAGTCACCTCAGACTTCTTCGCCAGAGGGAACACTGTGGTGTAGCGGGAGAAGTCGTCAACTACCACCAGAAAGTAACGCTCACGCTCAGGGCCTAGACGAGGGGCTGGGCCCCAGACGTCCAAGTGAAGCGTCTCAAAAGGCTCGGTGGCCGGACGAAGGGAGGAGGAGTGAGGGGTGGCGCGCAGCCTGCCCTCGACGCAGGGACGACACGGCGGCGCAGGCGAGGGCGGCAGCGACGGCAAGACACGTGGGAGGCCTAGGACAAGACGCTGACTAGACATAGCCCGCAGACGTGGAAGGGACGGGTGCCCCATCCGGTGGTGCCACAGAACGGTGGGGTGGGCAAGCGACCGGCAGGAGCACGACGCAGCGACTGGAACAGACGTAGGAACCTGACACGACACAGACACCTGGGGGGACGTAGCAACCTGGTGAGACGCGGGGACCCGAACGGGGGGGGGAACCGGGGGCAGTGGCAGTAGGGGGGGCTGCTGGTGCGGCCGCTGGTGCTGCTGCTGCTGCTGCTGCTGCTGCTGCTGCTGCTGCTGCGGCTGCTGCTGCTGCTGCGGCTGCTGCTGCGGCGCACGCGGGCCAGTGTGAAGAGTGTAGAGACCCGAGCCCGGCTCAGCAGTAAAGGTAGCAAGAGGCTGGTAAGAGTCTCCGTCAACACACACCGCAGTCTCTCCAGAAGGCTCAAACCACACACCCACGTGCTGACTCACGAGGGGTCGCACGCCCACCAAGTTCCGGGAGAACGAGGGGACGTGAAACCCAGTGAGAGACCCAGAGGGAGCAGCAGGACACGGTAAAGTGGTAGTGTGACGTGCAGTGACTGGTCCCGCAGTGGGATCAGCCAACGCTACAGAAACAGGCGCAGGAAGTGGTGTAAGTGTCGTGCTGTCCCGAAAGAAGCAGTGGGAGGCTCCAGAGTCCAGTGTGAACGACAGCGAAGCGTCCTCTGAGGTAGTCGCTGGTCTAGAGTCTACACAAGTACCTACACTAGCAACAGGCAACTGAGCAAGACTAGCACCTAAGCTAACAACACCAGAGTAAACAGAGTCAGAAACACTAGAGTCAACAACAGCATACATAGCATGAGGAGCACTAATCAGATCAACTAACTGCTCAGCAGACATGCCCCACAGAGCGGAGCCGTGGCGCTGAACCAGAGGAAGCCAGTCAGGAGCAGGACCGCCAACCCCGTAGGTCAACCGGACCGTGTCAGTGAGCTGAGCAAAGCACTGACCAGGGGGGTGAAAGCGGCCACAAGGGTGGCCCCGACGAGGACCTGTCTGAACCTGGTAGGGGCAGGGAGGGTAAGCAGCACCGCGCTGGGGCTGACGCAGCCCCGACCCCGGAGCCAGCTGCTGACGCTGCTGCTGCTGAGGCTGCTGGGAGGAAAGGGGCTGCTGCTGCTGCTGAAGGTGCTGCTGACGCTGAGCCTGGTACCACGCCGCTGCTCCACCTAGCGGGGCCGGCAGTACAGGAGGCGACTGACGAGCTCGAGGGTCGCCGCCACCAGCAGGTGCAGTGGAGTCACCAGCCGCTGCACGAGGGGTCTCTCCAGACGCTGCACTCCCACCACCGCCAGTCGCAACAGCACCCCCACTACCTCCGCTACCTCCGCCTCCACCTCCACCGGAACCACCTTTCTTGCCCCCCCTGCCGCGGGACCGCGACGCAGTCGTAACAGCAGCCGCAGTCGCGTCAGTAGCGGCAGTGGCAAGAGAGGCAGTGAAGGTGGGTAACTGCGGGACTGTGCACCCGTGGAAGAGTGGGGGGGACACAGTACCAGAGGCGGCAGCTACCGAACGAAGGTTGCTCTCGACGTCCTTGAGTGCAGACTCAAGGACCTCGATAGTCAGCTCACTAGGGTGCTTCAGCAGAAGCGCGTCACGAACGGAGGCAAGGCGGTCAGGGAGGCTAGTGGCGATGAAATAGACAGTAATCGCCATGGGGGGAGGAAGCAGTGCAAGCTGTGCCTCAGTGCAAGCAGCGCGGTAACTAGCGTCGAGCGAGCGGAGGTGAGCGATCAAGTCAGCAGAGCGCTCAAACGAGGCAAGATCAGGAAACAGGAACGGGAGGAAAAGACGGCCGAGAGAGACAGTAGCGGGAGTAGAGTAGCGGGCCTTAATCGCAGTGAGGTACGCAGCAGCGGTGCGAACCTGAGTAAAGTGGACCTCCTCGGACTCAGGGAGGAGGCTGCTGAGTGCGATGCAGGCCGCAGCGTCACGCGACGTCCAAGCCGTCCGGTCAGCGCGCTGACGGGCAAAGCGAGCCGTAGCAGCGTCGTCAGGAGCAGGGCCTAAAGCGGTAGGCTCGGGGGGCTCGGGGAGGTCACCAGTAGCGTGTGACCAGAGGGTCTCGCCCCCCTGGACCTGACTCTCTAACAGACGACGAGCGCGAAGAAGCCAGACGGAAAAGTCAAGGGGTCTACCGTCAGCGTCGAAACGAAGAACTCGCGGAGTCGCCATAGTGAGAACCAACGCGAACGAACAGGCGAGTAACAACCGGGGGGGAAGAGGACTCAGTCGCAGCGGAAGAGCGGGCTAGGGCGACGGGCCAAAACGTAGGGTAGGGCAACGGGCCAGGGCCTAGGGTAGGGCGACGGGCCAGAGCCTAGGGAGGGCGACGGGCCAGGGCCTAGGGAGGGCGACGGGCTAGGGCCTAGGGAGGGCGACGCGACGGGAGAAAGGGCGGGAGCGACGCGACGGGGCAGGGCGACGCGACGGGACAGGGCGACGCGACGGGGCAGGGCGGCGCGACGGAGCAGGGCGACGGGACAGGGCAGGGCGACGCGACGGGGTAGGGCGACGCGACGGGACAGGGCGACGGGACGGGACGGGACGGGACAGGGCGACGCGACGGGACGGGAAAGGGCGACGCGACGGGAGAGGGCGACGCGACGGGACGGGACAGGGCGACGCGACGGGACAGGGCGACGGTACGGGACAGGGCGACGCGACGGGACAGGGCGACGGGACAGGGCAGGGCGACGCGACGGGACAGGGGGGGAACAGGCGGGCGCGACGCGACGGGGGGAACAGGCGCGACGCGACGGGGGGAACGGGCGCGACGCGACGGGGGGAACGGGCGCGACGCGACGGGGGGAACGGGCGCGACGCGACGGGGGAGATGATGCTAGGCTCGGTACTAGGCGCGGTAACAACTAAACTGGTACTAACGAGAGGTAGGATCAGGCTCGGGAGGTACGAACGGAGAACGGAGGAACGGGATCCCACAGGATCCTAACCTAGCTGATACCATATCAGAATGAGGAATGGATGTTGCATTGATGTTGGTTGGGGTACATATGACAAACCCTAACTTCTGTACCCCCTAAGACAAACCTCACTACAGGCTACAACATTTGACAGTCAGTACTCACGTGTGCTGGCGTCGTAGTGCATCATTACGAAATTGGGTGTATCGCTACGAAAGTTCTTGGAAACTTCTTCTCAATAAGTAGAGTTTCCGAGGGGGGGGGGGGAGTCCCTGTACGCTCTTCAGGGTAATCTTCGCTAAGGGAAAAATTACCCCAGAGCATCAGTGTGGCCTAAATCATTACACTTACAGATCAGTGTAACACTAACTCACCAAAAAATTACCCCAGCACATCAGTGTAGACCCAAAAATTCACCCTTGTAATCAGTATAGAAGGGTAAATTACACTGCAAACCTGAGCCCTGTCCAGCTGCTTCTACGGCTAGCTGTATATTTAGAAAGCTTGCTTTCTTTCATGTAGCAATGGCATCGTCTCATTTCAAATGGGTTTAGTAAATTTTGAAATCCAAGCAGCCTATCAGACTAATGTGCTAACACATTTCAAGGGGTGGGTGGGCGGGAAAATCGGCTAAACCGTTTGAAAATGAGAGACGTGGGTGGAGGGAAATGACCTCCAGCCCACGTTTCGTACTCCAAAACGGGCGTTTAGCGCGGTTCGTCGCTGCCCATTCCTACATTACAGACTGCTTCGCTTTCAAAATACGAAATTTTGAAAAGCGTTACACTTTTAAAAATATTCATTTAATAAACCTCTAGTCGCTCTCTGTCAGAATAGCCCATTCACCTAAGTACTTGTGGCTACACACAGACACACACACACACGCACGCACGCACGCACGCACGCACGCACGCACGCACGCACGCACGCACGCACGCACGCACGCACGCACGCACGCACGCACGCACGCACGCACGCACGCACACACAACAGTCGCAATGTGGTAGCTTCACTTGCTGCTTCTGCCACTGAAGAAGGAATCCCGCGTCTCCATTCGGTGAACCCGCTTTGCCCAACAGCAGGCTGAGACTGAGGCTTTACAATGCTTATGCTAATTGTAGTATGTATCACACTGTTGACCATAGTAAATATATATTGCCATAATTCAATGGCACACTATGGTACGCATAATTTATACAGTAGGTGTAGCAGTAGTGTTCGGCACAGCAGGTCTGCTGCCACCCTTCCCTTCTCCAGACAACGACGCTTGTAATGAGTTTGGCTTGCCCTCCACAGTTCCTGCTGATGACAATTGCTCTGTACTTGACGACGATGCCACTGATGATAACGAGGATGCTACTAACGAGGTTGGGGACGGTAGAGGCGAGTGGGAGAGTGCATCAAGGTCAGCACCGGAGGGCAGGTAGGAGGATTCAAGCCCCACTGCGGACCCAAACGTCGTGTAGCCCTTCTCTGCCCCTGAGATCTCCAAAAAGGCCCGTGCCATGCTGGGGGGAGGGAAGGAAGGAGAGGGAGCGGGGAAATCAGGAATAATTTATGCGGATAATCATAGAAATAACATGAACTTTGCCATTTGCTGTGTTGAGGACTCTCACACATACCTCTCAAACACTCAGACGTTTCAGAACCAGCGTTGCTGCCTTGCTGCTGGACCTGCATGGCTGTGCTGCCTTTGCCTGCCCTGCAATTTCACACCTTGGTACTGCACCAAACGCCTCCCACCGTGTCACTTGTCATCTAACCCCTTGGCTGTCTTCTCCATAACCACCATCTGCAAGGCCTTTTTTGGCTCTCCCAGCCCTATCACACCTTGGTGCCACACCAAAAACCTTACCACCGCACCAAAAACCTTCCCACCGTTCTGCCCTCCCTCGTCTCACCCCTCAGCTGTGAGTGCTCGCTTCTCCATGGCCACCATCTGCTGCTGCATCGTCTGGCCCTTCTCCTGCAGACAGGAGGAGGCATGACGAGGTGGGAGAGTGGGAGAGACATGGTTGGCACATCGCACATGGATGGCACATGGCACATGGTTGGCACATGGCACATGGTTGGCACATGGCACATGGTTGGCACATGGCACATGGCATAGAAGGGCTGTATATTCGCCAACCACACATACAGCACCAGACTCACCACAAGCATCTCAACGATATGTTTGTGTGTGTCCACCTGCTGCCTGCCCGTCATATAAGGCGCCTGGTAACACATAGGGCACGCATAGTGCTTCCATGGCACAGACAGCACCAGACTCACCACGCGCATCTCAAATCACGCGCATGTGAGTGTCAACCTGCTGCCTGCCTCTGATGTCAGGCACGTGATAACACATACATAGTGCACGCATGGTACTCTTAGGGTACACAGAACAGAGAACCAACTCACCACCAGCATCTCAATCACGCGCTTGTGTGTGTCCACCTGCTGCCTGCCCACTGCTATCATCTCCTCTTGCTCCCTCTTGTCCCCCTCCAGACGACCAATCACCTGCATGCAGCAAGGAGCATCCAAAGAGGCGAGTGTGCAATAAGCAAGGCTAGTCTTTTCCCCCTCCAGACGACCAATCATTTGCAACAACGAGGATGCATTAGGCAAGCTGAGTCGACTAGAGTCGATGAAGGCGCATCAACAAGTGATCAGGCCGATTTCCAAGTCGACTAAAACCATGCGCGTGTATGACCCATCACCATGCGCATGTATGACCCATCACCATGCGCATGTATGACCCATCACCATGCAAAGTCATTCGATGATAGCTCTCCAGAAGAAAGGGACGTGTCTTGAAAGCGCCAATTAACAGTATACAATCATGAATCACACACAGCCAAACTTATCCTCTTGAGTCTCTCTCACACTGTTACACACACGCGCACTCACCCGCTTGAGTCGCTGTATCTCCATCTCCTTGTCCTCCACCCTATCATGCAGCCCCTCCACATCCCGCCGCATCTTCTCCTCCTTTGACGCCAATGCCCTCAGCAGCGCATTCAGCTCGCGCTGCATCTCAATCTGCGAGGGCGAGGGGGAGGGGGAGGGGGAGGGGGATGCTCAGCCCTTGAGTCACCCAGGTCGATGCGAGTCAACGCAAGTCAACCACAGTCTTTCCACCCCGTCGTTCAGCCCCTCCACCTCGTGTTGCATCTTGTGCCAACGCCCTTAGCAGTGCATTCACCTCCCTCTGAATATCAATCTGCGAGGATGCAAGAATGGTGGAGGAACTCAATAAAAGTCAATCGAATTTTACCGCCGCCCTTTCCATCTCCCGCCTCATCTTCCCCTATTTTGACGCCAATGCCCTCAACAGTTCGATCAGCTCCCTCTGCAAATCAACCGGATTGAATGAGGTAGTGAAAGTCAACAAAAGGCAGTCAACATTAGCCAAATGAGTATATCGAGGTGACTTTTGAATAGACTCAAAAGTGCGGGAGTCAATCTAGAGCCAAGCAGCGTCCTCGTTCAGCTCCCTTAGTCGAATGAGCATATCCTCGTTCAGCTCCCTTAGTCGAATGAGCATATCCTCGTTCAGCTCCCGCTGCCTCTCAATCTGATGACATGAGACGGTGAAATTCTGATGAAATGAGATGGTGAAAGTCCACACAAGTCAACAAAAGTCAAATACAGAAACAACCAGAATATAGTCAAGGAAAGGAGAGGCAGCCAATGCCCTCAGCAGCAATGCTTTCAGTTCTCCCTGCATCCCATCCTCATTCAATGAGATGCTTTTGAGTCGACTCAAAAGCAGTTCTCCCTGCATCCCATCCTCATTCAATGAGATGCTTTTGAGTCGACTCAAAAGCAGTTCTCCCTGCATCCCATCCTCATTCAATGAGATGCTTTTGAGTCGACTCAAAAGCAGTTCTCCCTGCATCCCATCCTCATTCAATGAGATGCTTTTGAGTCGACTCAAAAGCAGTTCTCCCTGCATCCCATCCTCATTCAATGAGATGAGGTGGTGAAAGCCCATGGAAATCAATCAGAGTAAATTATAGTCAAATACACTGGTCATCCATGACAGCTTGCTCCGGCACCACTACTGCAATCTGCTGCCATGATACTTTCATCCATTGCAGCCTGCTCTTATACTCAATCATTACAGTCTGTATTATACAGAGTACACAGAAGAAAGCTCTGTATCCCGCAGGCCATTCATCCCTCCCACCCGCCCACCCACCCACCCACCCACCTGCTTGTCCATAAGAGCTTGCTTGAGCACCACTGCTGCCTGCTGCTGCTGCTGCTGCTGTGCTTATGTTAGTTGCAGCCTGCTCTCGCACTCAATACTGCCAAGCACAAGCACAGCTCATCCATTGATCCCACCTGCTTGTCCATGACAGCTTGCTCGAGCACCACTGCTGCCCGCTGCTGCTGCTGCGACAGCTCCCTCCGAAGCACCTCCACCTCGTTCGTCATTTGCTCCACCTGCGGGGGAAGAGGGATGGGTGGAATGAAGAGAGGGTAATAGATGGGACTAATGGGCAGATGGGTTGTACTCGGGTGGCTTGCTGCGACAGCTCTCTCTCTCTGACCGAAGCACTTCCACCTCGTTCGTCATTTGCTCCACCTGCGGGGTAGAGGGATGGGGGGGAACGCGAGGAGGGACACAGAGGGAAAGGGACAGAAAGGAATGGATGGGCGAGTGGGAGGCAGTAGCTCCCTCCGAAGCACTTCCACCTCGTTGGTCATTTGCTCCACCTGCCAGCCAGGTAGATGAGCAGTATGGCTCATTTCACTCAGCCAGGTAGATGGATAGTGTGAGTGAAATGAGCAGTATGGGTGAGGGCAGGATTTAGAAGCATTGATGAAGCAGATTTAGTTGAGGAGATTTGTTAGCGAGTATTCAGCACAGGGCGTATATGATATGGACATTTGATAGAATTAAGAGAGAAAATGGAATGAAGCAGATTTGTTAGCACAGAGAGAAACAAAGAAGATATGGATATTATTGAGAAAAACTGAAAGAACAGAGAGAATCTGAAGAAGTCAGTTTGTACATGCGTCCAACCCACCTTCACTGTGAGCTGCATGTGTGTGTCTCTCTGAGCCATTTCCACCATGGCTGTTTGAAGAGCCTCCACCCTGTGCATACACAGAACAGAGACACACAGAGTGGCATGGTGACGTCATCCACCGCTGCACACACTACCACTGGGAACACCCCCTGTTATCAAAGTCGTATCGCACTTGTGGTGTCGGGAGGGACCACTATCTACAATGAATTCTTACCAATGGGGCAATCGTCACGTGTCAGACGGCATGTTCACGTCAAGTGAACCTGCCCATGGTCCACTTGTCACCACAGCGTTGAATGATTCTCACTCATGACTGCTAAGAACGACGCTCGTGGTGACCTTCTTGTGAAGACCAGCTGCTCGTGTTCAGCCCTCCATTGACCTTTTGAGAGGTCCATGGATCAATTCTCACTGCTGTCAACATTGTTCCACAACACAAACGTGGCCATTCAGTTCAATATACACCACCAATGAATTGAATCCATTCTTCTGACAGCTGTCAGAAAGCTACCACACTTTCTTCTCACCGCTGCTGTGACTCGTGATGGCTCCTTGGGGTGAACATCAGCTGATCTAATTCAACCTCCCACTAGTACTTCAGTAGTCCAGAGATCAATTCTCGCTGCTGTCAACAAATGGTCATTTCTCTTAAGGCTGCTGTGACTCGTGGTGACTCTCCAGAATGAAAATCAGCTGCTCGTATTCAATATCCGTCAGTCATCTGAGAAGTCCATGGATCGATTCTCACTGCTGTCAAACTTAACAGCTGTGTGCTCACCGCGTCTGTGACTCGTGGTGGCTCTCCAGTGTGAACACTAGCTGCTCCTTGAGCCACGCCACCTGGCAGAAGGGAGAGGAGGGGAGGAAGGGCGGGGAAGGAGGTAGGGAGGGATGAGAGGGAATAAGACCACTTTCAGCTCTCCAGAGTGAATACCAGCTGCACATGTAGCCATGCTACCTGCCAGGAGGGAGGGAAGAGAGGCGAGGCCGGGGAGGAGGGCAGGGAGGGATGAGAGGGAATGATGAGCACCACTTTTAGCTCTCCAAAGTGAACACCACCAGCTGCTCCTTCAGCCACGCCACCTGGCAGAAGGGAGGGGAGGGAGGGGGGGGGAGGGGAGGGAGGGGAGGGAGAGGAGGGAGGGATGGAGGGGAGGGAGGGGATGGAGGGGATAGAGGAAAGGGAGGAGGGATAGGAGGGAGAGGAAAGGGTTGGAATCCTGAGAATTCTCTCAAATCTCATGCAGAGAGAACACACACTATGCCCTTGAACCCACCTGCTTTGGAACCCACCTGCCCTGGAACCCACCTGCTTGAAAAACCACCTGCCCTGGAACCCACCTGCTTGAAAAACCACCTGCCCTGGGGCCCACTCTAACCTGTGCTTGCAGATCCAGCATGGCCGTCATATCCCTCTTCAACCGCTCTGAACCGTCCCCAACCTGCCCCTCCCCTTCCCCCACCATCCCGTCTGCCCCTCCTGCAGCTGCATCAGCAGCAGCAGCAGATGTTGCCCCTCCTCCTCCCCCACCGAACAGAGACCCTGCTTGACCCCATCCGGACCAGCTCCATGCAGCAGCAGCTGATGGTACAGCTGCTGTTGCTCCCCCTACTCCCCCTGCCCCCCCTGCCCCCCCTGCTCCCCCTGCTCCCCCTGCTCCCCCTGCCCCCCCTGCTCCCCCTGCTCTCGCTTCCCCTCCTGCCACTCCTGGTTTCACCGCCGCTGCTGCACCTGCTCCCTCTCTGGAGCAATCCTCGTCACCAGCACCACCATCATCGCCAGTAGCACCAGCATCAGCAGAGGCACCGGTAGCACCGTTGGCAAGGAAAGGGATGGGGGGAGAGGCGGGGCTGCGGTTGAGAGCCGCAAGGTCGTGAGAGGAGGACGAGCGGCGGTGGTCAGGCCAGGGGGGGAGAGAGGTGGAGGAGAAGGAGAAGGAACCCGCTGCTCCTGCTAGCATCCCGGTTGGCATGCCTGCTGATCCACCACCCACTGCTAGCATGCTTGTTGAAGAGACTGAGGAGACGGTGGTGGCTACCAGCCAGCTCACATCAGGCCAGGAGGAACCATCTATAGGCATATCCAGGCCACCATTCACCCTCCTATCCCTCGCCTCTCTCCCACCTTCCACCCCTGCTGCTTCCAACAACACAGCCACGGCCCGAGCCACCCGGTTCGGCAGCGACAGCTTCGGCGCCCCCCGGGGCTGCGTCTGCTCCTCCTCCATTTGCTTAGCTAAAAGCGCCACCATGTTCCTAGCGGCAGGGCTGCACCCTAAATGCATGCCAAAGCGGTGCCAAACGGGCCTATGGAGAGCTGACACGTGGAGCCTTGAGAGGGAGGAGGACCGGGCAAGTGGAGGGCTGGGGGGGAGGGGAAACAGCCTCGCTCCAGGCTTGAATTGGACAGGTGGAGGGCGCTGATTGGCTGCTGGGCCTGCCTGGGAGTCCCCCTGAACAACCCCCTTCTGACGCCCCTGCGTGGGGAGAGGCGGTAGTTGACTGTTTCTACTGTTACCGCTCTTGCTATTACTAAGAACACTGTTAGTAGCGAGGCTGTCAGTAGAGGGTGGGAGGAGCAGCGACGGCGGATCCAGCAGGAGACCCGACCCAGAGGCAGCGACAGCAGAAGGGGAGGGGAGGATGGAGTCGTCAAGGGAGTTGGTGGTGACGGGGCGGCCGTCAGCAGTGGGGTGGAGGGACATGCGCTCGAAGATTGCAGCAGCCTCCGCCTTGAGGCGCTCCGACTTGCCGCTCTGGTAGCGCTGCAGCGCCACCTGCCTCTCCTCCAGCCGCCTCATTATGGCCGGCCGGTGCTTCTGCCTCAGTGTCTGGGGAGGGGAGGAAGAAGACAAGGGGGGGAAGGGTGAAGAGGGCAAAGGGTGGGAATGAAACCCCTTGCTGTTGTGAATTGCCACTCTGGTAGCGCTGCAGTGCCACCTGCCTCTCTTCTAGTCGACGCATGGCCGGCCGGTGCTTCTGCCTCAGGGCCTGCCGTGGGGAGGAAACGAGAGGGGAGAGGGAGGAACGGATTAAGGAAACCCGTTGTTGTTGTGTGTGTGTGACTTGCCACTCAGGCAGTGCTGCAGGCAGGGCGACGTGCCTCTCCTCCACTCCAGAAGACACATGATGGCCGGCCGGTGCTTCTGCCTCAGGGCCTGGGCTGGGGAAGGGGAAGGGGAAGGGGAAGGGGAAGGGGAAGGGGAAGGGGAAGGGGAAGGGGAAGGGGAAGGGGAAGGGGAAGGGGAAGGGGAAGGGGAAGGGTTGGAAGTCGGAAGATTGTTGCAACAGGTGGAGACGCCTCAAAAAGTGCAGGTTAATTGACGACTCTTGAGCAGCCTCAAAAGCCATGAGACCTCACTCACTCACACTAGGTGTCTGTTGAGCTGAGTCGAGTCAAACGTCAACTCAGATGAGTCGGGTCAAACGTCGCCTCAGATGAGTCGAGTCAAACGTCACCTCAGATGAGTCGAGTCAAACGTCACCTCAGATGAGTCAAGTCAAACGTCACCTCAGATGAGTCGAGTCAAACGTCGCCTCAGATGAGTCGAGACAAACGTTACCTCAGATGAGCCGAGTCAAACATCACCTCAGATGACATGATAATATCTCTGCCGGTCTGAAAACGAGGTGACTTTGAGTCAACTCAAAAGTCACCTTTGAGTCGACTCAAATGTCACCTTGAGTCGACTCAGAAGTCACCTTGAGTCGACTCAAATGTCACCTTGAGTCGACTCAAATGTCACCTTGAGTCGGCTCAGAAGTCACCTTGAGTCGACTCAAAAGTCACATCGTCAAACGTCACCTCAGATGAAAACGCGTTTCGAGTCGAGACTCGGAAGTTCACCTCAGGTCTGAAAGCAGTGTTTTGAGACGTCTCGAAACACTTGTTTTATCACGCGGAGGTTCCCCTCAAAGCACGCGGAGGTTCCCCTCAAAGCACGCGGAGGTTCCCCTCAAAGCACGCGGAGGTTCCCCTCAAAGCACACGGAGGTTCACCCGAGGTCTCAAAGCACCACGTCTTCCCCACCCACCTCCCAATACTGCGTCCGTTACCTCACCTCCATTACCTTACCTTACCTCCGTTGCCTTACCTCACATGCGTCCGCCACCTCACCTCTAAAACATATTTTGAGTTTTGTCTAAAATTACTCCGACCGGTATGGTACGGTCCTCCTCCTGCACCCACCACGCACACGCACCCATGCACCGCACCGCACTGCACCCATCCTCACCTCCAATAACGCCTCGTCCACAGCCATGTACCCCACACATGCGTTCAGCACCAGCTGACTGGCATCAAAGGCCGACGCTGCCGAGTTCAGCAGGGTGGACATGAGCTCGCCTGTCTCAGTGATTTCCATCAGTAGGAAGGCTGTGCAGGGAGAAAAGGAGAGGGGGCAGGGAAGGGGGCAGGGAAGGGGGCAGGGAAAGAAAAGTGGTATCAAAGGCTGATGCTGCTATGCTCTGGAAGGTCGACATGCGCTCGCCTGTTTCAGTGGGCTCCATCAGTAGAAAGGCTGTGCAAGGGAGAGAGAGGTGAAGGGAAGTGGAGGGAGGGCAGAGAGTGAAGGGAGAGCGGATGAGGGTGGACATGTGCTCGCCCTGCTCACATGAGTCAGTCAGCTCCATCAGCAAAGAAAGCTCCAGCAGATGAGGAAGGAGGGGACGGAAGGACGGAGATGGGAACATCGGAAGGGGGGGGGGGGATATGGATCAGCAAGAGGTCGCCACCAGCCAGTCTTGCTTCGCTCAAGCCTCGTTTTGGCCTCTTATATGCACGCGATGAGAGATAGGTCTGAAATTGCGTGTCTATTGCAAGGGATGAACAAGTTGAGTGGAGGGGCATGGTTGAGCAAGATAACAAAAGAAGAGCATAAGCTTGACGAAGGGCGCCTTGCTGCACCATGCTGCTTGAAGCGCAAATGCAATCACTTCACAGGGAAGGAAAACAGCAATGAGGGGGAAGAGAGGCGAAGGGAAGGGAAGAGAGGCGAAGGGAAGGGAAGAGAGGCGAAGGGAAGGGAAGAGAGTGTTAGATTATAGCATCAGTTGGGTTGCAAATATGCGAGTGTAACACCCAAACATGGGTGTACACTTTGGGCCAAGGCGCCCCAACCATTTTTGGTTGGGCTCGTCCCAACCCCTATCTGCCACAATTGGCGGGGGGAACCAGGCCCCCCAATAATTGGCAGCCACCTCCAAAACATTATTGGTGGCCACTCCCATTGGCTCACCAATAATGTCGCAGGGTACCCAACCTAGGTCCCCCACTTCTCATCGCTTATATGTACCCACGATCTTTCTTATCAAATCAACTCTTGAGTTCACCTCTCATCCCAACTATGGGATTCTCACAGAGAGGCGAAGGGAAGGGAAGAGAGGCGAAGGGAAGGGAAGAGAGGCGAAGGGAAGGGAAGAGAGGCGAAGGGAAGGGAAAAGAGGCGAAGGGAAGGGAAGAGAGGCGAAGGGAAGGGAAGAGAGGCGAAGGGAAGGGAAGAGAGGCGAAGGGAAGGGAAGAGAGGCGAAGGGAAGGGAAGAGAGGCGAAGGGAAGGGAAGAGAGGCGAAGGGAAGGGAAGAGAGGCGAAGGGAAGGGAAGAGAGGCGAAGGGAAGGGAAGAGAGGCGAAGGGAAGGGAAGAATTGCTGAAGTGATCACTTCACTCACAGTGCTGCTCGAGAAGCGCGAGGCACGCCTTTTGAGACGTCTCAAAAGTTGACATAAGCCCTGAACCCCCAACCATGAGTGATCACTCACAGTGCTGCTCGAGAAGCGCGAGGCAAGCCCGGAAGAGCATGCAGCGACTGCCCTCAAACAGCATCACGTCCCACACACGCAGCACTGCGAAGTTGGGGGGGGAGGGAGGGGGAGGAGCGAGTGAAGAGAGTGGGGTGCTTGTTTCTAATGCGTGCCCTCAAACAACAGCACGTCCCACACGCGCGGCACCACTGCGAGGGGACAGGGGGAGGGTGAAGAGAGAGGGTGGGGAGGGAGGATGTATGTTGATGTGTGCCTGGTGTCTGCAACGGCATCACGTCCCACAAATCACGCGACGGAGAGAGAAGTGGGAAGGGGGGAAGGGGGGAAGGGTGAAGAGAGGGTGGAAAAGGTCGGTGCATATCTATGTTGCATATTGTGTTGGGGATCTCAGGGAAAGGTTGGCTCGGTTGGGAGGCAGTGGCATGGGACGGCAGGATTTGGGGGGGAAGAAGGAACGGAAATGGACGGGAGCAAGGAAGGAGGTGAAGGGAGGGAAAAGGGGGGGGGATAGAGAGCAGTCAAGGAGTGTTGTTCGGAATCTACGTTTTGGGTTTATTGCTGTTGATACATTAGACATAGTTGGATGATAAGAAGATGTGCAAATGCATTTGGCGTATGCGTGGCACACACACACACAGCGGTGCTACAGCCTAGAGTGTTCTGAAAACACTATATGAATGCGCAATACTGGATTCACATGCGAGAGTTCTTAGAAATGAAGGATCTAAAAAATCAACCATTCACTAAGTATTCCTGGGGGAAAAACCGATAAACAGAGGTTCAGTCTTGAGACATTTTAGAACAACTCGTCTCACCACTTTCCCATGGAAACACGTTGATGAAGAGGGAGAGGAACCAGGGGCCTGTGATCCACGACAGCTGCACCCCCATGTTCTCAAAGTGCGTTGCTGGAGAGGTGAGGGGAGGAGAGGAGAGGAGGTTGCGCGGCAATAAGGAGGATAGGAGAGAGGGAGAAAGAGAGGGAGAGGAACCAGGGGCCGGTTATCCACGGCAGCTGCACCCCCATGTTCTCAAAGTGCGTTGCTGCAGTGATGCAACAATGGAGAGGGTAGGAGAGGGTAGGAGAGGGTAGGAGAGTGAGGGAGAGGGATAGGAGAGTGACGCGGCAAAGGGAAGGGTAGGAGGGAAAGAGAGCTTGAGGAGGAACCAGGGGCCAGTGATCCATGATAGGAGATTGGAAGAGGGAGGGAGAGGGTGAGGAACCAACCAGGGGCCAATGTGGTCCATGGCAGCTGCTATCTCAAAACGGGTTGCTCGAAGAAAGATGTTCATGAAGCAGAGCGGAGAACATGGGTTTGAAATAGGGTTTGTGCACATCCATTCTTTTCCTAATGCACAAGACCAAGCCAGGAATGGAGAAAGGAACATGAGAATCCAGTCTCACCAAGTCGAGGGAAGTTTTGTCTCACAAGGCCTTCAAACACCAGCTGGTACACCTGTTGTGCGCGGGCGAGCGATGGGGAACATACACGCACGTACACCCACCCACACACACACATACCAGGCCAAGCCAGTCTCACCAAGTCGAGGGAAGTTTTGCCTCACGAGGTCTTCAAACACCAGCTGGTCCACCTGTTGTGTTGGGAGCGGGCGAAGGAGAGACAAGTTACAAGAGTTCCAAGCATGCACGCGCACGAGCGTAAGCACCCATACAAACAGGACAAATATAAGCAAACAGTGAATCTGTCTGACGTTGCCATCCCACCTGAACCAAATCGTTTTGACAGAGCATCGGCACTTTCGCATTGGGGCCCACCAATACCTTGCATGAGCTGGATGGGGACAAGTTACAAGAGTTCAATGGTTCAATGGTTCACATCACACAGATAGCTCACATTGAGCCCTAGTCAGGCGCCTCAAGGTCTCAACACCTGCTGACTCCGCACGACACAATCAACTCCAACAGCCTCACCTGGGCCTCACCTGAGTCACCTGAGCTTCACCTGAGCTTCACCTGAGGTTCACCTAAGCTTCGATCATGCTATGGGGGAGTAGACGGTAGTGGCCCCTCGGAGAATTGTCCGCGACTGCTGTCAGGGTCCTTTTGAGATTACATCAAAGGCACCTAATCTGATTGGCACCTAATCTGATTGGCACCTAATCTGATTGGCACCTAATCTGATTGGCACCTAATCTGATTGGCACCTAATCTGATTGGCACCTAATCTGATTGGCACCTAATCTGATTGGCACCTAATCTGATTGGCACCTAATCTGATTGGCACCTAATCTGATTGGCACCTAATCTGATTGGCACCTAATCTGATTGGCACCTAATCTGATTGGCACCTAATCTGATTGGCACCTAATCTGATTGGCACCCAATCTGATTGGCACCTAATCTGATTGGCACCCAATCTGATTGGCACCTAATCTGATTGGCACCTAATCTGATTGGCACCTGAACCTCACCTGAACCTCACCTGAACCTCACCTGAGTCTCACCTGAGCTTCGATCATGTTGTGAGAGTAGTAGCCCTTCAAATAGTCATCCACAATCCCTGTCAGGGTCCTGATGAATCATGATGCGTGGGCGGCAGCAGAGCCATGCATGATATGATATGATAGGATAGCAAAGCAACTAGTCGTCAGCATAACAGGGGGGTAAAAGGAATGCTTGACTTTGATTGACACAATAATTGAGGTGCCTCAGAATTTGTCGGCAAAACAGAAAGGGGATAAAGATTATTGCCTTTGAGGCATCACAACTCCAACACTCGCCAACGATTTTTTCTGCCGGTTTTGCTTAGGCCAGGTTGGGTCGGGTCGGGTCCGGACGGCCTTCAATCCTGCCCGACATGACCGGCTAAAAGGGGGGCAGGTCGTTTGGATGGTTCAGGCCAATTCAAGACAGATCAAAGCGGTTGACGAAAGTTGAAGCTTGATATCAAATCATCACAAAACAGGCGCATTCACTCGCTGTCAAATCCGAAGCCTGCTCCAAACTACTTCGAAGCCAGGCAGAACAGAGTTGTGCATATGGCGAGGCATTTACAGGGACTTACTCATACAACATCGTCCACTCCCTCTCACCAGAAGGCGTTTTCTTCTGGCATGAGCAGAAGCAGCAGCCCTCCGAGGAAGTTCATGCCCTGTTATATGGGAGAAAGGGAGGAGGAAACGTTACCAGGTTATTATGTTACTGGGTTATTGCTTTACCAGGTTACAATTTCAGAAGCAGCAGCCCTCCGAGGAAGTTCATGCCCTGTGGTGTGTTCATGTTGGGGGGAGGAAGGAGATGTTACCACCACCAAGTTATTGTTTACCCAGAATACCCTACCAGGTTACAAGTGTACTATGTAACTAGCTCACAGGGATACTGATTCAATGAAACTTTAGGATACCAGAAACTAGGTTACAATTCAACCAAGTTGCCATCACTGTGACATGCACACACGGAGCGCACACAGGGCACACCCGCATCCACACCTCAGAACCATCCTCCTTGCCCTCAACTACACACCCACTAACACTCCCCACCGAAACGACACCCCAACACCCACTCACACACACACGCACCAGTCAGCACCCCACGTCCTTGTTCTTCCGCGCATACGCCGTCAGCAGGCGGCAACACACCCACACCCACCTTTCAGTACCCCTTCTGACACCTCTCGACCCACACGCACCTGGCAGTACCCCACGTCCTTGTTCTTCCGCGCATACGCCGTCAGCAGGCGGCAACACACCCACACCCACCTTTCAGTACCCCTTCTGACACCTCTCGACCCACACGCACCTGGCAGTACCCCACGTCCTTGTTCTTCCGCGCATACGCCGTCAGCAGGCGGCAACACACCCACACCCACCTTTCAGTACCCCTTCTGACACCTCGCAACCCACACGCACCTGGCAGTACCCCACGTCCTTGTTCTTCCGCGCATACGCCGTCAGCAGGCGGCAACACACCCACACCCACCTTTCAGTACCCCTTCTGACACCTCTCGACCCACACGCACCTGGCAGTACCCCACATCCTTGTTCTTCCGCGCATACGCCGTCAGCAGGCGGCAACACACCCACACCCACCTTTCAGTACCCCTTCTGACACCTCTCAACCCACACGCACCTGGCAGTACCCCACGTCCTTGTTCTTGCGCGCATACGCCGTCAGCAGGCGGCGCAGCGAGTCTCGCCCAATGGAGTCCAGCGCTGGATGGCCGGGGAAGGTGCGCGGAAGGTCCTGGCAGAGGGGGGAGAGAGGATGGTGGAACGGAGGTCGGGAAGGGATCGAAGGGGGGAAATGAAACTGGTTGATGATATCTATCTTGGGGCCATGCAGCAAGTCTCGCCCTAAAGAGTCCAGAGCTGGGTGCCCGGGGAAGGTGCGAGGACGGTCCTGGTGGAGAGCGGGGATGGAGGAATGCAGGTTGGGTCGGGAGGGAGACGGGGGAAAGGATCTCTTGAGGGGGCAAAGCAAGAGACGTGCACGTGCACCCAGTGCAAAAACGTAACCTTTTTCTTTCTTTCGGAAAGCAGCCACCCCATCAATCCCTCCCTACGTTCACCATCTGCTGCTGCACAGCCCATGAGATGAGATGTGCACGTCCCGTCCTTTCTGACAACCCTCCATACTTCAACCTTATACATCCTCCCGGTCCCGGTGCACAGGCCCCGCTCCCGGCACACAGGCCTCCGGTCCCGGTGCACAGGGCGTCCTCCCAGTGTCCCAGTGAGACTCCTCCCCCGAGTGCCCTTCAACTGCAAACCACCCCCAGCTTCCCCATCCGCATGCACCGCACCGCAAGCATACTAACCCTTCCCCTCCCCTCCACCCCCTCCCTCACCTTCTCGATCTGCACGGCCCACGAGTAGCCACGTGATAGAAGTAGTGATTTGAGGCGTCTCAAACAAAACAAATCTGCACGGCCCACGAGCTGGTCACGGCGCCGACGCGAGCGAGTGTAGATGATCATGTCAGCAAGGGAGCTGTTGGGGCACATGTCATCCTCCCCTCCCTCACGTGCCCTCCAACCCGAAACCAGCCCTTGCTTCTCAATCCACGGCCCACCAGTTGAGAATTTCTTGTGCGCGTGCTGGTCGCTCACGTGCGCAACAAGTACACACCCCCCTCTCCCCCAATTTTCCCCCTCCCTCACCTTTTCAATCTGCACGGCCCACGAGTTGTGCACGTCTTTGGCACGAATGCGGGCGTAGATGTCAGCGAGGGTGCTGTTGGGGCACAGGTCGTCCTCCCGGTGTGCCTCCTCCAGCAGTGCATCGTACAGCCCTGCTCGCCTCCTCGCCTTGGTGCCCACAAATATCTGCCACACCTGTAGGCAAAGTCGCATTCACAGATTCACGGGAGTTCAAGGGGGTTGACAGGGGTTCACAGGGGTTGACAGAGATAATGCCTGCACCCACCTCGCCCATCTAGCCCACTCTCACCCACTCGTCTCTCCTGTCCGGATGCTCGCCTCGCCCTTCAGCCCACCCACTCACCTCACCTCACCTCACCTCACCTCACCTCACCTCTCAGGTTCATGGGTACGTACGCCGCCAATCACGAGAGAGTGCAGCTGCCTTGATCATGCCTACCTGGCTGAAGCTACACCTGCCTCTCCCATCAACCCCATCCTCCCATCAACCCCATCCTCCCTTCAACCCCATCCTCCCATCAACCCCATCCTCCCATCAACCCCATCCTCCCATCAACCCCATCCTCCCATCAACCCCATCCTCCCATCAACCCCATCCTCCCATCAACCCCATCCTCCCATCAACCCCATCCTCCCCAGCCCATGTGCGAGTGTACATGGCTCCCTCCCCCATGTGCGAGTGTACATGGCTCCCTCCCCCATGTGCGAGTGTACATGGCTCCCTCCCCCATGTGCGAGTGTACATGGCTCCCTCCCCCATGTGCGAGTGTACATGGCTCAAGGGACACCCCTCCCTCACCCCTCTTGTCCACGCGCTCACCTCGCCTCGCAGGTGCAGGGGCACGCCGCCCATCACCAGCGAGTGCAGCTGCCATGAACATGCCTACATGACTGGAGCTGCACCCGCCTCTTGTTGGAAGAGAGAATATGAAATTGCAACACCTCTCGCCTCAAAACCATCCTCCCGTCCGTCCTCTCACTCGCCACTCTACTGTCCCGTCCACACTCTCACCTCGCCACGCAGGTTCATGGGCACGCCGCCCATGACCAGGGAGTGCAGCTCTCGCCCCCACGGCACTCTCCCCAGCATCGGGAACCCCGCTGTGTTGAACGCCTGCCGCATCGCACTCCCCTTCCCTTCGGCCTCTCCCCCACCCCCCTCTGCATCTCTCCCATCCCCCGTCGCATCTCCCACACCCCCTTCCGCCTCTCTCCCATTCCCCTCTGCATCTCCTTGCTGCTTCCCCCCCACCGCTTCATCTCCTTCCTTCTCACCGCCACTCCTCTCCGTGCCTTCCTGCTTTTCCTGCTGGCCCCTCCCCTCCCCCTCCGCAACTTCCCCCTTTCCCTTCTCCTCCCCTCCATCAACCTTCCCCTCTCCCCCTTTCTCTCCCCCGTCGCCCTCTGTTACTCGCACGTCCTTTGCTCCCACCCTCCCTTCCTCTCCTCCCCCTCCCCCACCCCCCTGTGCCTCCCTCGCAGCTCTGAGTGTCTTATTCGCCACGGCTTCAAGAGCAGCAGCCGCCTCTGCTGCTTCTCTCTGTGCGTCCACCCCCGCTCCCTCCACCCCTCCTGCCCCCCCCTGTGCCTCCCTCGCAGCTTTCAGCGTCTTATTAGCCACGGCTTCGAGAGCAGCAGCGGCCTCTGCTGCTTCTCTCTGCGCCTCCACAGCAGCGGCCGTGGCAGCAGGAGACAAAACACTTGCCAGCTTTGATAGCTTTGCAGGTTTGGATGGGCTACTTGGCTCTTTCTGTTGCCCTCCTGCTGCTGCTGCTGCTACTTCTGCTGCTGCTGCTGCTGCTCCATCTGCTTTTGGTTGCGCTGCAGTAGGTCCTTTCTCCTCTTTCTCCCCTTCCAGATCTAATTTGTCTCCTGACTTGTCTCCTGACTTGTCTCCTGACTTGTCTCCTGACTTGCTTCCTGACTTATCTCCTGACTTATCCACAGAGGGGCTTCCGGAGGAGCTATCCTTTGCAAATGAAGCTGTGGTTTTGTTGTTTTTCTCTCTCTCCTTCCCATCCCCTGTTTTTCCTGCTTCTTTTGGTATTTTCTGCTCTTCCTCCTCTTCTTCCTCCTCCTCTTCCTCTTCCTCCTCCTCTTCCTCTTCCTCTTCCTCCTCTTCTTCTTCCTCCTCCTCTTCCTCCTCCTCCTCCTCCTCCTCCTCCTCCTCCTCCTCCTCCTCCTCCTCCTCCTCCTCCTCCTCCTCCTCCTCCTCCTCTTCTTCCTCCTCCTCCACCTCCTCCTCTGTCTCCACCTCCTCGTATTCTTCTTCCTCCTCCTCTTCCTCTTCTTCTTCCTCTTCCTCCTCTTCCTCCTCTTCCTCCTCTTCCTCCTCTTCCTCCTCTTCCTCCTCTTCCTCCTCCTCCTCCTCTTCCTCCTCTTCTTCCTCCTCCTCCTCCTCCTCTTCCTCCTCTGCTTTCGGTTTTGAACCCTTACCCTTAACCTCAACCTTGGTTTCTCCCTCCACTCCACTCGCCACCTTCGCCCCGCCCTCACCATCACCACCACCTTCCACAGATGTCTTCTTTCCCCCACCCTCCTCACCATCTTGCAACTTCTTCTCTTCAGCCGCCTTCAGACCCTCTTTCCCTTCGTCTCCAGCCTTCCCATCTGCTGCTCCTGTACTGGAAACAGCCTTGCCTTCCCCCTCTTTGCCTCCACTCTCTGTCTCCTTCAAAGCATTCTCCTTACCAACATCCTCCTTACAAGAAGCATCCTTATCAGCCACAGCATTGTGGGTTTCTCCTTTTCCTTCTGTAGCACCATTGCCTCCCTCCGCCTCTCCCTTATCTACACCGCTCTGTACCGCAATAGAGACCATACCAGAACTCTGTGCCTCCTCAGACCCTTCCTTTGCTTGATCATCAACCCGTCCCTCATTTCCTGGCCCCCCCCCACCCTCACTCTCCCTATCACTCTCTCTCCCACTCACACTCTCACTTCCACTCACAGTTATGCTCACACTTCCCGCATCTCCTTCCACACCTGCTTTCTCTCCATGACTATCCACAACCGCTACAGCACCACCAGCACCAGAACCAGCAGCATTATCACCCCTACTCAAACCCTCACCGACCGCACTCCCCTCCTTCCCGCCCCCTTCCCCTCCTCTCCTCCTCCACAGCTTTCTCCCTTTAAGCACTTTCTCTATAATCACCAGCTCCTCCCGAAACTGCTCTCTGAACCTCGCATCTCCCCCGGACCCCCTTCTAAGCACAGGGTCTACAGTCAACTCTACACCTGCCAGCCTCACTTCCTGGAAGTTTCCAGGGGTGGTGGGGGCCGAAGCTGGACTGTCTAACGGCCAATCTGCTCCCCCTGCCCTTCCCCCTTCTCCTTCTCCATCTCCCCCTTCTCTTCCTATTCCGTCTCTTCCTCCTCCTACCCCTCCTTCTGCGGCTCCTTCTGACCTTCCTTCTCCCTCTCCTCCTTCTCCTCCTTCTCCCTCCACCCCTTCTCCTTCTCCCCTCCCCGCTTGGGAAGCAGAAACAGACGCATCTCCTGCTGCCTCTGCCTCTGCTGCCTCTGCTGCTGCTGGTGTTCGGGTGGAAGAGGAAGGTTCGTGGAAGGAGAGGTCGCAGTGCTGCAAGAACTTGTCCCATCGGTCTGACCGTTCCTCCTCCTCCACCTGGACGGGGCGTGGTGGGGTGTGGTGTGGGGTGGGGTGAGGTGGGTTGGGTTAGGGCGGGGTGGGGTTGGGTGGGGTGGGGATTGGGCTCGGCGGGGATTAGGGCGGGTTGGCAGTTAAAGGTATGGCCTTCAAAACTGAAACTTGTCCCATCGGTCTGACCGTTCCTCCTCCTGGACGGGGCATGGTGGGGTGGGTGGGGGGTGGTGTGGAGTGGGGTGAGTTGCAGTGGGGTTGGTTGAGGTAGGTAGGGTGAGGTGGGTGGGTGGGATGCATGCATGATTGGGCTGTATGTGGAGTGGTGGTGTTTTCATTTCAGCGTTGGAGCAGGTGGAAACGCACTGCTTCCTGAGTGAGCAGAATCCCATTGAAACGCATTTGGTGAATGCGATGCGAGAGTGCATCGCGTGTAGATGTCCGTGTGCTGCTGGCTCAGGAGCGTGTTCTCCTGGTGGGGCGGGTTAGGCCTCCTCACAACAACGCACAACGCACCTGGAGCGTGAGAGCAGAGCCCCCTCACAACACACCTGGTAGATGAGAGCAGAGCCCCCTCACAACACACCTGGTAGATGAGAGCAGAGCCCCCTCACAACACACCTGGTAGATGAGAGCAGAGCCCCCTCACAACACACCTGGTAGATGAGAGCAGAGCCCCCTCACAACACACCTGGTAGATGAGAGCAGAGCCCCCTCACAACACACCTGGTAGATGAGAGCAGAGCCCCCTCACAACACACCTGGTAGATGAGAGCAGAGCCCCCTCACAACACACCTGGTAGATGAGAGCAGAGCCCCCTCACAACACACCTGGTAGATGAGAGCAGAGCCCCCTCACAACACACCTGGTAGATGAGAGCAGAGCCCCCTCACAACACACCTGGTAGATGAGACACGTACGTCTTGTAGATGCCCGTGTACTGGCTCTGGGGTGTGCTGAGCGGACCGGAGCAAGGCAACTCACCTCATGTGGGGGCGTCAGGGGCACACCTGGTAAATCCGAGCGTACGTCTTGTAGATGTCCGTGTACTGGCCTTCGAGCATGATAAGGCACTACCTACCTACCAACCAAGTGGGTTAAAGCCCATCACAACGCAACGCACCTGGTAAATGCGCGCGTACGTCTTGTAGATATCCGTGTACTGGCCTTGGAGCGTGAAGCCATACATGTCCCTGCAGGTCCGCACAGTGAGACACGTGTGCACACGTGGATGAGTGGACATGGGGACACGCGAACAAGGGGAGGGACACGTGGACAGGTGAACAAGGGGACACGTGGACGAGTGGGAAAGACAGAAGGTGGAAGGCGGAAGGGGCAAGTTGGAAGATGGAGACTCAAAGGACGAAAGGTGAGAGCAGGCGAAGCGCAAGGCTGTCGCGAATGTTAGACAGGACTGCTGACTTGGAATTAGAGGCTTCAGCGCTCGGCACAAGTGCTACTTTGAGTCGGTCTGTAACTCAGCTACCCGGCTAGTCGAGTCGACATGTAACCCGGTTACCAGGCGACGACAGCGCGCACGCCTTACCGTCCAGACCCTACTCGTTTACCCAAACCATTCTGAGACGACTCGAATCCTTTATTGGACAATTTTCAGGCGACTGAAAATCCTGATTGGGGCATTGTTTGGCACCGACCGACTTGACTGGTCCTACGGGACTGTCTTCAGGCATCGCGACGCGCATTCCCTGGAGTCTCGACGTCACGAGAGTGAGGAGACACGACGCGTGCATTACGGTGAGAGACTACGACGCGTGCATTACGGTAAGGGGATTACGACGTGCGCATTACCGCATGGCGTCCGCCTTGGAAGCGCCGTTCGGCGACGATGGTCCATCGGAGCTGGCTTTCGGCACGCTCCGGATTTTCAGCTTCGCGCGCGCAGTGGATGTCGCCATAAATGATCAGGTAAAGATGTGGACAGAGACGCTGTAGTGCTGTAAAAAGACTTTTGCATTTTGTTGAAACTTTGTACGCCGCCCCAGTAGCACAGTGGTAGTGCGTTCGCTTCGTAAGCGAAAGGTCAGAGTTCAATCCTCTGCTGAGGCATTCTTTTTAATTTATAAATCAATGTAACAATGCCAGTCAGCCAGCAGCCAGCAGCCAGCAGCTAGCCACGTGCGCCCCACCAGCGACACGCGCTCACCAACAGCACGACTCGCCAACCAACCGGGGCACGTGAGATATTTTCTCCAGACCCGGAAACGGTGATTTTCCGTTGCACACGTAGGCTCAATTTGCTACCGTAGTCGGACAATTTGATGATAATTGCTCGAGTGGTCTTGCCAGAGGTTTCCTCTGGCTTTTTTTTTATCCGGCACATTACCCAAAACCGGTTTTTAGCCCTGCTTTTCTCACGTCGTTCGTAACTCTTCCCGCAAAAACGTGGCGTGTGTTTTTCCGCCCGATTTTTTCGGCTGGGTGACGTGCGCGAGAGCGGCCACGTCATCGTTCGAATACACGACAATAATCGACGCGATCATGTTCGGCGAACAGTCGCGCTCATTTTCGGTCCAATGATTGACCAATCCGCGCATAGAGATATGAATCCCCGATCATATACTCAATTGCACGACTGTCCACACGCGCGACCAATTACAGGGCGCGTGTGATTGGTCGACTCTATGCGCAAAGTACTTTTTTACCTTGCGCGTCCAATCAGGCGCGGTCATGTAAGATCGCACTCATATAAAACCGCGCATTTACCTATATGAGCGCGCATATGTGGTGCTCGAATGTGTGTGCGATCTGTTTTATTAATAAACAACTATATTAATAGAATCGGGAGACGTTCACTACCGGTGTTTTGCCATTGTATCTTTATAACACTGTGCGGTCCGTTCATTTAGCAATCATAGGGTTTATTGTATCTGTAGGCATGTCGACCTCTACGCATGGCTACAATGATATTACGTAGATTTGATGTGTACTGAGCACGCAATGTCATTGTTGACCATACGTCTCATCAGTTATTGTGCAGAAAGGCATCGATGATGTCGTCCGCCGCCCCTGCACAGGTTTAGCAAACAAGTTCATTAGATTAATGCAGAGTTTAGTGAAACTACAGCATATGAATAAGCACTAATATGACACAACCACACATCTCACCTGTTGCTGGCTCGCTTGCCAGTGCGGAGCCGTGGGACGTTGGGTTGGGATTGTTGGGAGAAGTCGACTGTGAATATGTCAGGCCATGTACCCTGACCTGTCCAGTTTGCCCTGCGGGTCGGACTGGTTGGGTTTGTGGGTCAGATACTGGATGTGCCGTACTGGGTGCAACGGATGGTGGTGTTGGTAGGACATGCGGATGGGGTGCTGTGTTCTGTGAAGCGGCATGGCCTGCAGGGTTGGGAGCAATGGGTAATGAAGGGGTTGGGTGTACGGGGATAGGGGCTTGCACCTGGCTGAATGGATGGTTTGGGATTTGGTTGAAAGCAAACTGCTGGGATGTAAAATGGAGGTTGGGAGGAGGGCGGTTCTGATTGTACGGCTGCCATGCACCAGGGTTAAGGGCTGCACCGGCGTGTCCCGCGAAGGCGGCGGCTGGCGGGTGGTAGTTGCCAAACGTGGCTCCAGGGTGCTGGTGGGAAAAGGGGGGTGGAGCCTGTGTGTGTACTCTTGCTGGCGTTGGGATGGAAGGCTCAGGGAGGCTGCCGAGCACTTCTCGCCAGTTCCTCCACTCTGCCCACCGCTTGGCCTCCACTATCCTTGCAACCCCTTGCGTCGTCAGTCCCTCCAAGCACCGCCTCTCCTCCACGCTCAACTCCACCATCGTTGAGCTGGAGAGGGACGGTCGGCAAATGTGGGCGGCTGCGGCATATGCTTTTGCGGCATCCAAGATCTCCGTATACCGTCCAAGCACTAAAAACTTACTCTTTGCGCTATCTACGCACAGTCGTGCCGCCCACCTACCTTCCCGTTTGGTTACGCCAGTATAGCCAGAGCTAGGAGCTCGACCACGCGCAGTGTTGCGACTCGTTGTCTCTGTCCCTGTGCTGTGGGCGGACACTAAATCCACATCCGCGTTCGAGGCTGTCACACCATGCCCAGCACCCACGGCCTCTCTTGCACCTCTGTTACCATCCGTAGTACCCAACAACCCTTTGGCACCTTCATCACGCAACCCCAGTTCCTCATTGTCCCTCCTCGCACCGTCCGCCATATCACCATCTCCATCTTTTTCAAGCTTACTGTTAATCCCACCTACACCCGCCTCAACGTCAGCCTCAGGACCCTCGCCATGTGCACCTCTCATGCTGTCATGTGTGCCAGCGTTGTTCCCTCCCACATCCCCATGTCCCTCCCCTACAGCATCCCCTCCCGCATCCCCATGTCCCTGCCCTGTAGCTACCTGTCCCACATCAACATGTCCCTCTCCTGCAACGTCCCCTCCCACATCACCATGTCCCTCCCCTATATCCACACCGCCAATGCCCGGCTGTGGAGTACGGGACAGCATCAGCTCACGCAGTTGCCTCTCGAGCTTGGCAATAGCCACTGCCTGACTCTCATTTCGAACCTCCAGCCTATGCATCCGCTCTGCCATCTCCGCTCTCCACTCCCTATCCTCCACCTCATCGCCAATCACCTCAAACTCAGGTGGTTTCCTAATCTCATTGCCAGGAGGGATCTCATGCCCAGCTGCTATGAGCTCCCCGATCAGCCGTCCTTCTGCCAGGGCGCACACATCCTCCCGTAGAACACGATCGGCTTGAAATTGATCGGGTGAAACACCGTGGTACAGGTTAGCTAAATGGATGCGGATCATTTCTGTAGCTCGCGATTGAATCGATGGTAACTCGATTTCATGATCGAAACTACTTTGTACGAACGTGTTATTTTAAACTCGCGAAACCACATGAGGCACGAAACTCATGGTTGCGATGTTACGTGCGAGCCCAAATGTCACACTGTCGGACCCCGGCACAGAGTGAACACGCATCTCTTCAGAATTCCATACGAGGGTTGGATTGCCAACCATTTCCGACAGTATCTTCGACCAATGGAAATTCACCCAGTAATTGATCGTGCAATTAGACGTGCCATTCAACCTGTGCAATGCGCGTTCCTGTATGACCGGTCTTATGCACGTCTTATATGGCCGGTCATAAAGCGCCATACGCTATTTAAAAAGGCGCGTCAGCGCGCCTTAAAAGGCCTGATAACGATACATAATTCTGTATGTACAATACATGTAACCCCAAAAAATTGCAGTTGATCTAGCACAACGGCAATGTTCTAGAAGCATACAACCCTAGTTTCCAAATGCGCAACATCCACGCAATGTGTGTGAATATTACAAAACAATGAGTGGTTGAACTAACAAGGAGATGGGTGTCAGTAGAGCTACACTGTGAGATCCCCGATCGATCCTAAGGGGGGTTACAGGCGCGTTTGCCTGGGGGGTTATGGGCGCACTGACCCGCTACTGAAACAAGCCCTTTTATCCCAATGGTCTAGTGGTTGGGATTCTGACATGGTATCAGAGCGGTCTCGGGTTCGAATCCCGGTGTATGCACATGTTGGCCGTTGCCACTGTGCTCAGTCCTAGGCCTCCCAGTGTGGGGGGGTGTTAGTAGAGCTACACTGTGAGATCCCCGATCGATCCTAACGGGGGTTACAGGCGCGTTTGCCTGGGGGGTTATGGGCGCACTGACCCGCTACTGAAACAAGCCCTTTTATCCGAATGGTCTAGTGGTTGGGATTCTGACAATGGGTACATGTATGAAACTCCAAGTCGAACATTAGGTCGACAGAATGCTCCGAAGACCTCCTGGTCGAGCTGTAGGTCCTGGTCGACGCCCCACCCGTCGCCCAGACCAGTCAGTTGCAGCTGTCGAGCTCCCTGGTCGATAGCAACACCACAGCGGTCCCCTGCAGCTCGACGAATCCTGTCGAGCAGCTCTCCACTGTGAACGGTCGGTTGCTACTCCCGTACATCCGACCAAGTCGCCGGCGTTGCCCAAGCGAGGGCAGGGCCAACACTCCATTCCTGGTAACATGGATATGGCCAAAAAAAGAAGTCTCGATACGTGAACGGTATCGTCGTATGATATATTTTTACATGAGGGTTGTTATATGGGGTATAGCAGTATGGGTTAGGTTTACGCACCCCAACCAACCTTAATCGAACCACCATTCCGTTCTTGAGAGTATAGTGGCTAAGGGATGTAATATTACCCATGAGTGTGTTGCATGGGCTGTACCGGGTGGTAGTATGTTTAGCGTTGTTGTGTATTGATGTGATGGACACGAGATTAAGGACTATCAGGTCCTTCTAACATTTCGCTACTTACACTCCACTCAAAATATGTTTCATCCATGTATACAATATGTCTATTCCGGTGCACATATATGCAATTTCCTAATTGTCGTGAACCCTAATTTCGCGATACAAAATCACATGATGGAAAGTAGACCTCAAAACGCATCCGTCCTTGGCACGTAACGTCAGGCTCGCGTGGTAACATTGTACCCATCCGGTCATTGGTGAGGTAATATGCTCGTCCGTTAATGACCGGTCATATGCGCGTGCACATATGACCGGTCATATGTGCGTCTGCATTTGCCTCGTCATTTGCACGTGTGAATACAGCGCGTGGATTGCGCCTGTGCGTACTAATGGTCAGGGGCAGTAATGTTTATGGCCGGTCATATGGAGTTTCATATATCTTCAAGTCATGGCAATTCGTTGCTCTTTTTCTCCTAGTAGTAAAGTGCATGCAACGTACCACATTCCCTAACATTCATATGCAGTAGTTAATATTCAGCAATCAAACTATCACCGTACCACTAGCTTGCTACGTGATACACACCTGACCCCCCATATTTCCCCTTACATTTCTTCCGGGTATGCTCCGTCGAGCCACAGTCACCGCACTTGTATCTCCGTTTAGGGGCTTCACGCCTTCGGTTTGATTGTGGCCGCCCTGCTCCTCTCTGCACAAAAATAGGAGGATCACAAACTCCCTCCTCAACTGGCTCGTTTTCAGCAATAACCGTGTCTACACACGAATACGGAATGAGAGACCCATAAGTCTTTTTCCAGTTGTCGGCCTTCCAATACCTGGAAATAAAGGGTATAGGATCCATTCCCCTCTCCCGTAAGTGTGCAAATGCATGTGAGCATGGGAACCGATACTCCTGCCAGTTTTTGCATTCGCACGATCTCTCTCCGACATCATTGTTGAAGGATAGAGGACGTGGATCCAGCAGGGAGCCCTTGTTTCGAACCTCTGCATTGCTTGGACCGTTGCGTGTGACCCTGTAGCCACGGCTTCGGTTCTTTTTCAGCTCAAACCGCTTCTCACCCTCGACCGTCAACGTATGCTGCCAGTTTAAAGATCTACGCTGTCCATCCGAGTAGATATGTGCCATCCAGTCCCACATGCCCGCCATTACGTACGTCACGGGCAGAATACGGATCTTCTTGATAGCGTTGTTTATGGACTCCACCATTTGGCTGCTGTAGATACCAAAGCGACACGTGGGGGCATAACACCGTGCCCATTGCTTGATGAAGACTGTAATATTCTTTTTCCTCTTGTACCTGGGGCCATCCTGTCCCGTGCGAACGATTATACCTGCACCTTCCTCCATCTGGTCCCCAGCCCCTTGCTGAGCATCCGCATTGCCCAATCCACCCAACCCCGTCTCAGGACCGCCGCTTACGTCCGCACTTCGTCCTGCTTCGTTCCGTCGACCCATGGGGGGGGGAACACGGTGCTGAAGTGTTGGATGACGTTGTGTTTGGCTCTCTTACGTTGGCAAATGAGGGTCGGTTGTTGCCCTGTTGTCGAAGACACTGGTCCTTCCAACCCTTGCATCCCGTTTCCCTCTAAGGATCTCCTTCCGCCTTTGCCGCATCTTGGCCGCTTGTTGCGCAGCTGCGTTGGATAGCGTTGGATCAGTCAGCGTAGTGGTGGGATGTGAGCAGTGGCCATTATCTGTACTGTCCTCATCCCCGGAATCCTCCCCGCAGCTGATCTGACTCCCGTCCTCCACCTCGAACTGGTCATTGAACACTTCTGGTGTGGCATCTGTTTCCGGTTGAATATCGTCCAAAGGTGCCGGCTCGTGTCCTTGGTTATCGCCTGCGAACGAAGGGAGCACAGATGTTGGTGTGGTCTCTTGAGCCGATGAATCAACAATGTCGGCAGCCAGCGAATGGGGCATGGAGGGAAAGGTGTGGTTAGCGGTATCATCTGCCGCCATTGTTTGCTGCTGCTCTCCCCTGCTTTGACGTCGTCTTTGCCGCCGCAACTCTATCCTCGCCTTTCTTGCCTGTTTTGCGGCACTATTCATGCTCCTTAACTCATCTCCTGAATCTGGCACGCTAGCTCGTCGGTTGGTTTTGCGTCGGCCACCGGTCTGTTGCGCACGACTTTCTTCAACCCCGAAAAGATAGTTAGCCATTGCGGCGCACTGCTGCCGGCATCTCCTCACGAGTTTCCCAAACTTTGCCTTGGTGCGGCAGTTGGCGAGCTTCTTGAAGAGGTCCGAGGCGTTGGGCCCAAACTTTAGCACATTTTGCTCCAAATGCCAGCTGCAGAAGTAGTGGGGAAGCTGCAATGGGAACACTTCTTTAACAGCAGGAATCAACCCCTTGTCACGCTCACTAATAAGGGAGGCATTCTGTGTGGTTGGCCAAGATGGAATATGCTTCAACAAGTTCTCACAAAACCACTTCCAACTATCCTTATTCTCACTCTCGCATAGGCCGTACGCAAGTGGAACAAGCTGGTTATTGCCATCCTTAGCAGCTGCAACCAAGAGAGTAGCACGCTGTGCCCGAATGAGAAACGTGCCATCCATACCAATGACCGGTCGACAGAACCTTAGGGCAGTTTTTGATGCCGATGGGGCGGCAAAAGCACGGAAGAAAGCGTGATCCTTTGTCACAAGGTCGAGCGTTGCTTCAGGGTCAATCGCCCTGAAGCGTTCCAACACGCGAGGGATGTAACGAAACGATGTTTTCCAATCTCCAAACCGCTCCTTCAACATCTTTTCCTTGAGCCTGCGATGATTGGTGATAACGTGCAAGACAGTATAGGCATGTAGCACGAACATGAGAGACATCGTGTGGGTAATCATGAACATTTCTTTATGGTACACGGATGAGATGGAAGGTTGGGAACCACAATAGAATGCTATAATACTTACCTCCAAGATTGATGATAACTGATGTCAGGACCGCCGGTCGACGCAATCTGATCCTTGTAAGTCCCGGGAGGGTGATGTGGAGCGGCGTGGACAAGGTTCCCATGATGACGCTGTAGATATGGTACTTTATTTGTAGTGTGGTTGACGTAGCGGTCCCGATCAACGGGTGAGCAACAATGAGATGTTGGGGCGGACAGTTTATTAACACGCCAAAACCCACCCGCTCCGTCAGTTGAGTACTCACACCGCCACTTGCAAGCTGGTTTACGTCGCTCATGGTGACTCATGCATATAGCGCTGGCTCTGTTTGGCCTACTCTTTGAAACCCTAAAACCGAAGTTGTGGGCTACCGAATAATCTTCCAACGCCTCGTACAGAAATTTCTTCGAGGAGTACAGTTGACCTTCACACAATGGGGCTCGATCGTTTATCACTAATGGTGGCGAGTGATTATCTTCATCCGTCATATTTCGGAGCAATGCACGGTACATATCACTCTGCTTGGGCTCTCCAGTGCCAGCAAAACAAAACTCCGTATCTTCGTCGCCTGAGTCGTACTCTGTGTTAGTAGTATTAGATGACGAACCCATTGCGGCTAGTAGAAAC